TTGGGACTTCGGGGAATCTATACTTGCCTGGATACACTATAATCGGCGAAACTCAGAACTGCGCAAAGATGATAAGAGAGGAGGTGCCGTAGGCCGGTATCGTCTTCAAAATATATGCAACATGGATCAGACACCTGTTCCTTTCGAGTATCTGGAGGGGCGGACTTACAATACGGTTGGAGACAAAACTATTTGGCTTCAGTCAACAAAATCTGGATGGGATAAGAGGCAAGGGACCATTCAACTCACGATTTTTGCAGACGGAATTCCTCAGGTTGCACCTCTTGTCTTTTTTCGCGGGAAAGGAATTGGGGCCTCCATCCTCTCAGAGAAGCAACAATACGATCCACGTGTTGTGGTAAAATTTAATCCAACGGCATATGCCAATTCAACCAATATGGTTGAATGGCTCGAAGAGCAACTCATTCCTGTTCTTGAGAGTCAGCCAACACTGATCGCAATTGATCTTTTTTCGGGACATAAGACAGAAGAAGTTCTCGATACCTTCAAAGCCCACGATATCACCGTTAGCATCATACCAGCGGGCTGTACCGGGATTGTCCAGCCCCTCGACATCTCCATAAACCGACCCTTTAAGGATATATTAAAGGTAAGTAGGTGTTCAATCAAAGTGAAACTGAGAGATAGGATCCTACTCAAAGTACCTAGAAGTATCAACATACCTTTTTTAAGCTTACTAACTTTAAACTATGTATAGGAAACGTTAGAAATGCGACTTACGGGAATCGAAGACGAGGAGGAGAAGGTACTTACTGCTGGGGGCTCATTACACGGTAGTATGATTGGTCGTCGGCGTGTAGCAACTACGTGGGCGGTAGGCGAAGCGTGGGAGCGGTTTTCGCTAGAGCGAGCGGAGGTTGTTCGAAAGGCCTTTTGAGTTGTTGGCCTCTCGCTTCCTGTTGATGGAAGCGAGGATGAGGAAATATCTGTTAAAGGGTTAGCAACAGATTTTCTAAAGGAGGGGCTATCAGACTGGAGAGTTGGGGGGGCGGTTGAAGCTGATGACCAAGAGCTTGAGGAGGAAGATGAAGATGAAATCAATTTTTCCTATGATTAGATTAGTACCAAGACTTTTAAAACTGATATTGCGCAATCCTGTCAGTAATACTTAGCGTGACTCACCTTAATTCTACCTCCTAGCACATAGGCCAATTATTCGAGATTTTACGGTAAGTGCCGAATGGTAGACAGGGCTATGATATCAAAGTCGGTGTGACCAAGCATCAAAATGTAAATTGGTGATGCGATCACCGTAGATCAGATCAAGCATTGCTGATGACGGAACCCCTCGATAGGCAAGGAAGGTTCGTTCCTAGAACTATGCGTAATTTCTTTTTCCCTTTTCTTTTTCTCTATTTTAACCCGCTTTTGTGTGCCTGTTAGGCAAGGCGCCTGCGGAATGGGGGGATGCAGATGTACCCGTACTGTACTCGAGTACGATGTCCGGAGGTAGAGACGATACGGTACCGTAGACGAGTAGGCAGGCGAGCAAGCAGCAGGGAGATCCTACCTCTCCTACTCATGTGAAGACCTCCGCCTACCTGCCCCCCGTGTGAATCCGGGTATGATACGAGTAACCGTGCCGGCACTGTAAGTACGTATTCGTACGGTACAGTACTGTAAGTTAAAGCATAGCAATGTCAAATTAAGGTTGTTATCGACCGGGGCACTGCACTGCACCGCCCCACCCGCCTCCTACGCCGCTGTTGCGGCGAGCCCGGACCCGGATACGATGAGGGATGTTTAAAATAAAATAAAAACCCCATCCAGTCCGCGAGGGCATAAGCCGGATCGCATAAATCTTGAATCAAATCTGAGGGAGGGAGGCAGGCAGGCAGGCAGGCAAGAAAGATACCGTAGATAGATAAACCTAAACTTATCACAGTGTGGTATGTATACCGAACGAACCGTATTATATCCCATGATCCTGGGAAAACTGTCCGGATCACTCGTAATCATAAAGCAATGGTGAAACCGGGGAAGGGAGGAAAGGAGGAAGAAGCCCATGATTTATTTATTATTATTATTACCGGTATTGGTATTACTCTACGGGTATCATTGTTATTATTATTATTATTATTATTATTATTATTATTATTATTATTATTATTATTATTTCAACCACGATACAAGTACCGTATCACCCGAATATCACGTCTACTCGAGTAACTCACTCACTGCTGCAGGTATGATACTTAGTAAACAACCCACAAATTGACAGCCTACAAACGCAGACACCGTACCGTAGGATAGGATAAGATTATATCATATAGCAGAGAGCAAGCGCACCAAAGTGTGAAACGAAACATAGTTTTGTGATGTCCCCGGCGTCTACGTGAGGCCTTTCAGGAGCGTAATTTGGGGAAAAGTTTCATGCCGACGACGACGACGAGGGCCGGGCTTTCCGAGGCGCCGTGACAGGTGTGCGTGGGGTATGGTGCATCGGCGTTTATGATCTGCTCCCCTATCCATCCATTCGTTCGTTCGTTCGCTCGTTCATCATGGCATGGTGACGCACGGAATACGGCAGGGGCTTGCTAGGAGGCGAGTTATTGGTCTGCTCCGGGGGTCGCCACTTGCGCTGGCCCTGCGGCCCGGGAGGCGCTCGCGGTTTTGGATATCGTCGGGCGGGCGTGCTGCGGTAGCGTGGGCACAATTGACGAGGGAGATTTTATGATGCGGATACGGTATTGCGACACGACCATTATTACCGTATTGCCCATTCATTCTTTCCACTCTGTTACCGTATTTCCTTCAAATGACAACCACTACTACTTGTAGTAGTGGCAAATGCATCAATTTATTCATCGGGAAGGTACGAGTGAGTTAACCAGAGGACGCTGGATATCATACCATTCACTGTTAAAGATTATTCTTGTCGAAAGTTCGAACAAGTCACCACTTTTTTTCCTTTTTTTTTTTCCTTCCTTTCCCCTTCCCCCTGCTTCTCTTCCTTCCTCAATGCCTCGCATACTGGCTTGCAAATTCTGAATAGAGAATCACTCAACCGGCTAGCCCCTTCACAGCCCCTTGACATGTCAATCCCCGATAAATGAGCTACGGGTCAAAGAGCCCGCGTTGTCCAAGTCAGAGTTGTTTCCCTAAGGGAACGCAACCTGATTGGATGGCTTGCTATCAAATGAAATTCGTCCGCTGTGGCTGGCGAACTGCATTGGTGGCAACTGGGACCCCCCCGCCCCTTCTTCTTCATCCGGCGAAAGAAAAGGAGTAAAAAAGATTAGCTGACCAGTAGGAATCCGCACAGGCGAGAGTTCCAGGCGTCTTGTCACTCTTCCATTTGCCAGCCAACAGATGATCCGAGGATGATTGGCTGAGAAAAAAACAAGAGGAAGTGACTTCACACGATTCACCGTGTCACGGGCAATTTTATGATCTACGATACACCGTGCGAGGAGAGGATACTCGAGTAAACTATTGATGATGATCCAGGTTTGCATTTTTATTTTACCTTTTTTTGCTTTTAGTGGTAACGCTGTTCCCACCGGATGGCGGTATCAACTGTATCATAAGTGAGCCCAGATGCTTGACGCTGATGCTGCTGCTCGTTCAATCCCCTCCCCTCTTTCCACTTTCCGAAAAACTTCCGAAGCCTTTTTCTTTTTGCCCTAGGCAACTTTCCCTTACATGGTGGCTCTAGAGTATGCATGCCTGTCTACGGTACTCGAGTACGGTACGATTGTTCAACGGTGCATGCATGAGTGGTTGCCTGCTTGCTTGCCTGCTCGTGGCAGGTGGTGTAGGTTTGGTTGTTCCAACCCACTGATCGTGATGGTGAGCTGAGTAAGAGGAGCATGTGGGTGTGCTCTTGTGCTGTACAGTACCGGTACGAGTACCCCTACTGCACCCCTACTTCACTATTTTATTTAGGGCTTCCACCGGTTATCGATGAAAAAGTCGTGCACTCAGGGGTTATCGTACAATGATTAAATCGGCCGGGTTACGATGGATGCGATGGGAATGCGCAGATTATACGGCAGCTCTATCAAGGGCTAGCTAGGCGCTGCAGTGAGCGAACACGGAGATCCCTATCCGTGATAGCCCGCAGGACGGTAACCGTTTTCCGCACATCTTCATTCCTGTCTTTCAACCTTTCGCCCAGATGGGTGGGTCTTCCTGCGTCCTGCATCCTGCCCTCATTCCTCATGGCATTGAGGGGGTGAGTAAGCGAGCGGAGAGGGGGAGGTGGAGGTCGGAAGGGGGAGAAAGGAGGGGCATTCCAGCTGGGTTCGTAAAACAGAAACCCGGCAGGTTGGGATAGGAGAATTACAATATCTCCAGACGTGGGGGATAAATCATACATACAGGTCTACTCGAGTGCCGGTGTTACCGGTAGTGTGAGATCACAAATGCGGAGGAAAGGGAGAGTGTGGGTGTAGGAAGTTTTTGTTCCGAATGCTTGTACCTTTGTGCTAATAGTAGTAAGGGAGGAGTACCGGTACCAAAAGGTACCAGAAGTTTGTATCATATTATTTGGGTTATCGTACAGCAGGAAAGATATTATGGAGGAAACATGGATCACCACATGGTGGAATACTAGCAGAGTCGAGAGTTCTTCTGGCAAGCGCGCGCTCATTGTATGGGGATAACATGAAACCTCTCCGGAAATACCTGCACTTAATCTAAAATTGAAGGGGGTTTCCTCGGAAAGGGTGTGGTGCGGACGCCAGTTTTGCTGCAAGCAGGAGGGCAAGCAAGCGCAATGCTCGCTCGGTAAACAGAGTTGATCTGCCTGCCCTACAGCACAGTTCAAGCAGCCTTTCTACGGACTATTCCTAAATAGTAGTGGCTAGGCTATCGTGGGGTGTGCTATTTGTGGCTGGTTCCATCGATGTTTACGACGACGCGGTACCGTATTCAAGGTCATGGTGTCAGAAGGTTGGAAGCGAAATGCTAATTTCAGCTCCTCTGGTTTCGATTTCCACATCTCCTTTCCCCCTCCAAACCCATTCCCCAATCATCCCCGCCACTTATTGCCGGTAGGGAGTGGTTGGATACAATCTCTCCGCGTTGCTCGTCGCTCGTCTACGGTAGCTTACGCCGGAAGTCCCCTCAGTAGCCCACATTACCACTGATTATTGGACAGAGGATAGTTCTAACCGTTGGCGCCCTGGCCAAATTGTCTCTTTTTTTTTTTTCTTTTTTCGTTTTCCTGCTTGTACTGTATGATACCGGTATCTTTCCCACTGTTGTTCCCTTTTCCCCTCTCTCTCATGCTATTTCTTTTTTTTTCGAGGCTTTTTCTCCTTCGGGTCCATACCTCGAGCGAAATAGGGTGGTGAAAGCATTGGATGACGGCAATGCAAGTGTACGGTGCCGAAAGTGATGAGTTCTTTTATCCCCCCTTCCGGCTTACCGGAGGCGACATGTGTAAGCCGGTAGGAGCACCTTGCGCGGTAGGCGGTAGTGCATATCAACGTCAACGGCTTGTGGCTTAGCTTACCGTAGCGGTATTAGAAGGTAGGATACTGTAACGTATGATACTTGTACAGTATGATACCCGCATTGCACGCCGGGAGACATTTGCTGGGTTACGTGGAAAAATAGGCAGCCGGACAGGCTGTTGCCTACCGGCCCTCGCAACAGAACTCGAGTACTCGCGCTCCCTCCCTCCTACGTTTGCCCCTCAGTAATGTATATATTGAATATCGACCATTCCGGGACGTTCCCAAAGTGCCAGCCGCCCTCATACTCCAGGAGATCCTCGCTTGACCTCCTGAAGGAGTTCTGCTCGTATAGTCCTGTCGATACAGGGAGGCACGGTACAGTGGGCACCCTCAGAGCTGTCGTACCGTACGGTACTAGTACTGTGCTCGTACAGTTGAACGATTTTTTGGTGTGTGTGGTGCTAGGACAGTACCGGTAGCGGTACCGGTACTGTACCGTACCGTATCCATCTCCCTCACACGCCCTCACACGCCCTCACACGCCATAACCCCCCCTGCTTGGCGACTGGAACGTGCCCAGACTCCTGCGCCCACTAGAAGGCGCAAATCAGAGGCCCCTTGCGGCGGGTCACCCCAACTGAGGATTTTTCCACTTGAGTACAGTATTAGGGTCCCAAAATGAGAGAGAAGGAGGCCCCTGACATTGGTCAAGGGCACCGTGTTTCGAAGGACATGATTGCGCGCGTTACCTTTGCTACCCCAGACCCAGACCAGACGTAGCATCCGGATACCGTATTGAACCTTTTGCTCTAGCTTTCCTCTCCTTCCCCCCTTCCCCCCCCCTCCTGCCAGGAATCCCTGCCTCCTCCAGACCTGATACAGCTTTCTTGCTTTAAAGCTCAGGCGCCCGCCCCCCCCGGAGAGTCTCTCCTTCCCAGGCTGTGCTTCACACATCAACCCCATTGTCTCCCCCCCTCCCCCCTCCGGTTACTAGTGCACTTAATTTACTGCCATTCCCATTCACTGTCCATCACCATCAGCCCCGTTCACCCCTAGCACCACACACTATCATACCCATAAATCTTGCGGTCCGGTACCCCCTTCTTCATATACCGCTACTTCCCCCCTCGACCACGAATATAATTACGCGGACCACGGATACGACTACGAGAGAAACATCAACAAACAACAAACAGCAGGACTAGTGGCAACCGAACCCATTTTACGACAAATAGCAAACACCATTGATACCTAGTGCAAAAAAACTGGTAGGATAACACACTCCAAACCGCACACGTACACAAAATGTCGACCATGTCACGAAAAGAGGCTCTTGAGGAATTTATTCAATTGCCTGTGAGCAAGGAGATGATCTCATATCTGGCTGTCAAGGCTGCCAACGTCATTAAATGTGAAAGCGACACCGCCTTGCCCCCAACGCCTCCATCAACCCCACCGAATGGCGATGTCGAGCCAGATTTTTCCGCCCTGAAGCAGCCAGCCCTACCAACTCTCGAAGAGTTCATCACCTCGACGGTCGATAGGTCCCGCGTTCAGGTTCCCACCCTGATGTCGAGCTTGGTGTACCTTCAACGGCTGCAGAAGAGACTACCGACAGTAGCAAAGGGAATGCGATGCACGGTTCACCGCATCTTCCTCGCGTCCCTGATCCTTGCTGCTAAGAATTTGAATGATTCATCGCCAAAGAACAAACATTGGGCTAGGTACAGCGTTGTCAAGGGATTTGACGGGTTTGGGTTTTCGTTGACGGAGGTGAACTTGATGGAGAAGCAGCTCTTGTTTTTGCTGGACTGGGATTTGAGAATCACTACTGAGGATCTTTACGAGCATCTTGACCCGTTCCTTCAGCCCATAATCAAGCAGCACGAGAGAGAGATCGAGGAGAAGCTCGAACAGGAGAGGGAATACGAAAGACACCAATCGCTCATGGAGCTACGGATGGAAATCAACAGCAAGTCACGACCACTGTTTACATCGTCTATGTCATCTTCCTCCGCATATTATCTTCCAGTTGTGACATATGGTGGAGACACGCCGCCGAGCCAGCATTCTACTCCTCCATCGTCATCATCGGGCCGCTCATCGCGGGCTTCGGAACGATCGGTGGATTCATACTACTCGCGTTCTGGCCGCTCGCAACGCCGTTCGATCACCACCACGGTCGACTACTCCTCCTACCCAACACCCCCTTCTACCGCGCCGTCCTCAACAATTATACCCGGCCTAGCACGAAGTGGCACAGCATCAAGTATTGCTTCTTCTGAGGACTCATCGCCGACTATGCCTTCGGTCGCAACGATGAGAGGTTTACTGCCTATTGATACCGGTAAAAAGAAGTCTAGCACAACAACCAGCCTTCTCGCCCGTTTCTTGCAGGGAGCTTCTTCACAGGAAAAGAGCATATCGATGTCACGGTCATCTTCTTCATCGCGATCACATCATTATCATTGAGGCGCTTTTCCCTTATTACCCGTCATAATCCTTTCCTAACTGTTCCCACTCTATACTAGTTTTTTTCTCCTATTCTCTTTTCTCCTTGTCATCTCGGGGCAGACGATAGAGTCTGTTAATAACTAGTACCATTTCCTTCTGTTTGTTGTTTTTTTTTGTTTGGGGGCTATGTCTGATATCGGATACAATGGGGGCGGGTGTGGTGCGGGCTATGCGGAGTTTGGCAGATTAAGGTTCGATCGAACCCATCTTGGGGTTTTCCTTTCCTTTTTCCTTTGGTCATAGGTTTCCGCTTTTTGTTTTATTTGCATCTGCTTGGCTCGAATCCGGTCGCATGGTGATGGAAAAAAGGACGGAGGGGGCGAGGCTTGTGGGGGTTTCTCATCACCACTGTTACGGGAATGGGTTTTTTTTTGGGTGTTATGGGTTTTGTCTATTATTGGGTTGAAAGGCGGGGCGGGTGTCAGTACATACTTTTTTTTCTCTTTCCGCGATATCCTCTTTCTCTTACCCTTCACTTTTGCATCGCATGAGTATCTGTTTTTATGTTCATTTTCTTTTGGGTTTTTTTCTTGGGAAACCGGATACCGGTACTGCGGTGTAATATTTCTTCAAAAAGCGATTCTTGAAGTATGTATTTTGACTCTTTCCATATTCCCTTTTCCACGATCTTGCTTTGTCTATTGTATACTATATATTACATTACAAAGGGGCTATCATCCATCGTCATCGTTGTCGTCGTCGTTATTCCCGGTCCTGAGCACACTACAATATAGAATGGGATACCGCAACATTGATTGGGTGCTGCGGCGCCTTTTCTTTCAAATGCGTGCTTGTGAGGTGAGCCGCCTTTGCTTCCCCTCTTTAACAACTTGATTTGCTCATACTTTTATGTGCCTAACTCCGAAAAAAGCCCCACGGACAGGCGTTGTCTCGGGCGCACAGTATGATACTGTGCAGCGGCGTATGAACACACGCACTCACTCTTGCAATTGCTCGCGAACAATAACAATAACAGCGACCCACTACTATACAGCGAGTGTCACAGAGCGAGGAACTAACGAATTCGGCTCGATTCAGCCTGATTCTCTTTCGGTCTCAGCGCCTTCCGTCCCTTCCATTATTACTCGAGTACTTGCCCGTCGTTCGTCCTCGTTCTTCCCTCCGATATGGCGGTATGCTAGGTTCCCCAGACCTTGCAATGCGGTAGGTGGGATGGGGCACCAGTGCTGTGCCGTCCTAGCGCTCGTATGGTAACTTACGGTGCTGCACTCGTTCAGTACCGTCGGTGCACTCCAGGTGCTGTACCGTAGTGTAATTCGCCGTTCCATTTCCCCTAGGGAGTGTCCGTGCCACCGGTATCTCACGATCGTCACGAAACACCGTTATCACACGATATCCATACTACGGTACCGGTACCCGTACAGTACTAGCAGGAGGAGACAGACCTGAGGAAAGCACACCAAGTACTATATGATAGTACGGTAACTTATGTTGCATCATACCGAAATCTTTGAACCCTCTCCCCCCCCCCTGCTGTACCACCTGTAATCAGCAATATACATGAAATTCGACACCCACCCTCCGGCCCGGTACTAATTCCTTGTTACAAGTATTGTACGAGTATCATACCCTCCATCCCTTTCCGTCCCACACGGCACCGGTAGTACAGTACCGTACCTGTACGAGTACCCACACCCCCTGTACTAGCTACTGTAAAGAAACTCGAAACGTACGAGTAACGGTTTCTCCCCTTTCTCCCCTTTCTCCCCTTTCTCCCCCCCCCCCCCTTCACACTAGCTCCGAAACGAAGAAGTTAGTGTTTTTTTGTTTTTTTTACTTCTTTCCTTCGCTATTATGGGTGCCGATAAATTATTTGCACTTGAGTTGTGTCGCGTTACCTGTGGCGGAAATGGGGTAGAATATCCTACGGTAGAATCTTGGTGTGTGCCCGGTATACCGGTACTCGAGTATTTCGTGCATCGGGTTTATGCTATGCTATGCTGTGCTATGCCATGTTATGTCCGTGCTGTGTGTGATGTTTTACCATAGTATCGTAAATCAGGACGGTTCGTGAATGGTGCTATCATATACTTGTATGTTCAACACTGCATTCCCATCATACTGCATAGTACGTACAGTACAGTACCGCGGTGTGGTGGCTTTAGATTTCTTGGTTTGCGCTGAGTTGGTGTGCCATGTACGGTACGGTATAATACCTACGGTAACTTATATCATACCATCATTGTGGGAGTTTGCTTTGGGAATCGGTGTGTGCAGTACTGTACAGTGCAGTAAACCAGACTTAATTATGGATCGTGACATGGGTGGATTACGGTACTCGAGTACGGTACTATATTGTGCAGAGCTCTCGATGGGCGAGGGGGAGTACTGTACTGTACTGTACTGTATATAGTTTCCACTATTACCGTACCGTATTATATGCGGGATGGGAAAGGAGTGCTTGGAAAGAAAGAAATTTGGTTGCTATGTTTATCGGGGCTTAGGAAGTTTTTGAGTTACCGTTACCGGTACTGTAGATTATCATATTTCCGTTCTAAATACCTCCATACGATCCGTTGTGTGTGTGTGTCGGGGGGAGTAGGGGTGTAATACGGTATCAATATCCTAGGTAAGTATGATAGTCTACCGGTAAAGCTTTTTTATTATTATAAGGATTGCTGCGGTGGAAGATGAGGATGAAGGTTGAAGAAACTACCACTAATATCAACGATCGGGATAGATCTGGGTTTCTTTTTTTGGTAGGTGGAGTTTTTTTTTTTGCTGTGGCAAGGGTATGAATGGGTTCATTGCCTCCTCTATCTCTATCTCCGTCTGCCTTCTCTTAGATTGAGGCTTAGATGGGGGGGGTCCCTTTATTTCATTATTGCACAATCACGCCCACGATGTAGAGTACTGTATCAACCATCGATAAGGACTTCAGCCCCCCCGCGAAACAATAGAGTTCCTTATAACACCAAGGCCGTCATATCATCCATCCATAGCCTAGCAAATGTACCATCGTGGTCTTCAAGTGAGTACCGGTATTAAGAAAGAAGCAAGGAAGGAAGGAAACCTCCCCTACGAGTATAGACGGTCATACACTTTACCTCCCCATAACCTGAGATAAAACAAAAATACACCAACCAGCCAGCCAGCCGACCAACCAACCAACCAACCATCACATATCATTCCCCCTCCTTCCCCCTAGCTCCAACCAACCGTTACCGTGCCATAACACCGCACGAGCCCACCCATCACTTGGGCATATCAAGCCCCACCCTCCTGGCACTCATCCTGACCCGATCACCCCCCAGCTGTCCCAACGAAGGGTTATACCGTTCCAGAAGCGTAGCATAGGTACGCTGAGCGCGGAGGTACGTTACCAGCTGCCGCAACGATCGCTCGTTAGCCCTCTCCCCTCTCCCTCCCCCTCCTCGGGAGATGGAGGCTCGAAGGCGGGCGTGCAGTTCCGTGCGCTTCTGCGAGATTGGCGGGAACTCGCGGAGGAGCGCTCTGTAGAGGGTTTTTGTCGTCGCCGTTGCGGCGGTTGCGGCGGATGGGTTGGTCATTGGGTGGGTGAGTGAGTGAGTGTATCTGTGATAATGGAGGAGGAAGGTGGGTGAAGGGCGGATTTTAATTTTTCTTCGGACCGATTGATTGATTGATTGATTGATTGATTGTGCTGGGTGATCTGCGATTGCGGGAGTTTGGGTTTATTGAACGGAGGAGGAGGGAAGGGGAGAGAGGCTAGGCTGGCTGGGCTGGGCTGGGCTGGGCTGGGCCTTTTAGTTTAGTGCACTGTTGGGTGGGGATGGGGGCAGTTAGTACGGGACCTCCGATTTACTCGTAGACTCCATGGCTGGTATCGGGGCTCTGTGATATGTATACCGGTACTCTGCTGTACGGTACCGGCACAGTACCGGTGCTATTGCTTACGATACGATGCGATGCGATGCGATAGACGACAGCAGTTTGCATTGGGCTTGCCTGCACTATAAGACCACGGAAACACCGCCGTATCTACCGTATTTATCCTGCCCACTTTGTCTCTTCATGATATCTGTCAGATCTAAGTTACACCCCTCCCCCCCCCCCGGGTAACCCCCACGTTACTGTGCTATCAAATCATCTGGCCCTCTACAAGTATCCGGGTATGAATTCATACTACGGCTTTTCCCTCTCGACCTCCACTCAATCTTCCCGACAACACCAAGCAGCAGCTAGGGCCCTCGATCTAATTCTAAACCCTTCCACGGACACGTGACAATAAGGCCTCAACCTCAACATCAGACTCGCCTCAACTGCTAGTGCTGATCTCCCCCTCCATAGATCGCAAAGGAACGGATTGGAAACGAACCAACCAAGATATGACAAGCAATATGGTTCTCGTAAGTGCACATCATCATCATCATCACCACTTATCATCGTCAAATTATCTACCGTAAAATATGTTTCCTATAGAATACCCACGCGCCTCGGACCCCACCCCACTTCCATGCGATTCGATTTACACTTCCACGCGGATATCCACCTGTAGAGAACAGGAAATGCGAGGGGGGGGGCAGAAAAAAAAAGGATTCTTGATAAAAATAACGACGAGGGACGCCTCAAAAGCAAGCCATGATCCGCGCACCGTATGCGCTCAAAGACTTCCGATGCATATGGCCAATGCGAGCGCCAGAGCCATTATGGAAGCCTTTCTCGCGCCTAGTGCCAACGCCGAACCCCCTCCTTCTTCACCGTCATCCCCGGTGGTTGCATTCTCATCCCCTCTCTGTGTGCCACCGCCACCCTCGGAAGAACTATTGTGGAGAACGCCATTGTATATCACGCCCTTCCCCCCTCCGATCATAAAAAACTCATCCAAGCTACATGTCTCTATTTCCCTAACGAAGCAGACCGGTGGAAAGCGGTCTGGGGGCCTCAATGTGGTAGTGGTGTTTGGGGATCCGGTTGTGGAATATATGTTTGATCCAGACCGCGTGATTTTATCGCCCGTGGCGATGGACAATCCGCGGATCATACGGTCGAATATAATGTATGCTGTTTCGGGTTGGTATGAAGGGACCAGGTGCCCCGCCTGGTAAACCCTCACAAAAGAGAAGTTTCCGTGCTGACGGACCTGTCCGCCGACGTAGGACGAGTTCACTCGGATATCTTCGTACCCCGCGGCCTGGAATGCGGCTTTGTGGGGGTAGTCTATGGCGAGGCTGACTGCCTCCCCGCCCATGTAATTGCAAATGTAATCCCTATCACCTGATTTGCCTACTCGTCAGCTGGTCTGAAATGATCGGTCAAGAGTGGTGGGTGAGTGTTTGTCGCACATACCGTATATAAGCGAAACTTTGACCCCTCTGCCTAGCAGATACGCAATATCCTCGACTTCTCCGCCGCGAACGAAATCGCCAGCTAGTAACCCCTTTCAGTTTTATATTCTAGTGTGATAATATATGACGGAAAAAATCCTGGTAATGTGTGACCTACTGCTGCCGAACGCTTGATAAACGTAGCTATTGCTCTCCGTGTAATTTACCGGCGTCCCAATCGCTTGCTGGACTGTCGCGTTGTTCAGATATTCCTTGTAGTAATAGTAGGGGAACGGATCTCCCCTATCAGATGCAATGTCGTAATACCCCCTTTAAGCATAGCAGTCAGCAAGTATCATTCGCCGAGAGGTTGAGAGACCCTACCTGCCGCTAGTCGCGTACACATCCCGGATATAACTACAGTACGTGTCTGCGCTACCGCAAGCTTTGTTGACAGTATCTGAATCCCCAAAGTTTTGGGGATCGGACCCATTCAGAAGCGACCTGCACTGCTGGATTCTGGCAAGACAGCCATCTGGTTTAGAATAATCGTTCAATGCCGCGTCCCGCACCTTATCGCTGATAACCCTGATTCCGAATGGGTTTGCGTTGGCATATCTAGGATACCAGGGTGTTTGGATGGCGCTATCCACGCAGCCATTAATTATCCCAAGAGATTCAAGGTGAAGTTCCACCGTATTATTCTTCGAAAGCTGTCCAGTTTCACGCCTTTCGTTCTGCTCCTCGAAATAGGCCGAGAATTTTGGTCTGATAAGATATTAGCACTCTAGAGGTTTCACTTACGTCATGAAATCTCACCCGTATTTTCCTCCGTAACTCTCTGCGAAAAGATTAATGCCAGTGGAATTCGGGTTGTATTGAGGAAAGTTAATCAGCCAGGCTTGTAAAAAGTGCCAGGCAGACATAGCGGATATTTCCGTCGTGTTTGCTGTAAACCCCTGATTTCCCGAGGGAAAGGTCCCGTTGAGAAGGACAATCTTGCTTATTATGTCACTATATTCTTCTAGATTTGCAAATTGCTCGTCGGTATAACCGAGGTCGCCGTAGTGTCTGGTATTTGTTGGAGCTGTGGTGTTTGGTCGGTATGTTCCATTCGGATCGAGCAGGGCTAGTGTGCCGTTGGTAGGAACATCAAAGGAAAGACCTACTTGGTTTGGCTACATTGTACACGTTAGTTGGGATTACCCTTCTCGATTGGGAGCGAACGCGATAACTAACTTGATCAATGAACAGCATATTGCTTGCTTTGTCCCAGCTGAACGGTCTTACCCTTGTGGTGATCGAATCACGGTTTGCCGGCACAGCCTCACAAGGCCCCAGCTCAGTGAACATACCGATCAAAGAAGAGCTACCTAGAAGTCACCGGATTGAGATCTTCAGCCTCAAACCTAGAAGAAAAGGGTATCCCGACAAGAAGAAGAACGACAACATACCAGGGCCGCCGTTGAGCCATATTGTCAAGGGCGCACTTTCTGGGTTTTCCTGGGCTTCAACGAACCAAAAAAAGGTATTTATTGGGTAATTCTGTTGCACCGGTGCCAATGTCAAGGGAGGAAGGTGAATGTGGCCTGTAAATTGCTTCTGTCTCGTGCTCACTGTTCTGCAAATCTCTGATGTTGGGCTCTTGTAGCGAATGTAGACATTGGGATTGTGTGGGGATCTGATCTCTTTCTGGTCCCGAACTGGAGGAGGGTATCCCTGCGCTGCGAGCGCAAATGGGAAGGAGAGTCCAAGCGCTAATATCGACGTCGCCAATCCCTTTAGGGGAGCCATATCGCAGTTGTGGGCAAGCTGCGAACGACCCAGAGAACTACTGAGAAATAATCAGTCAAACATGTCCAGGTGGCCCAGGAAAATAACGAACGAGCTCCCACCAGGGCGGCTGTCCCTCGTCCCAGGCACTAGAGAGCAGCCACGTACGCGGGCTGGGCAGGAAACGGGGAGCAGAATGCCGACGCGCTGAACCCAATTTAGTTAAGGCTTCGGCGTTCGTATGGCGGGAAGCAAGTAGGCGGGCAAAAGGTGATGATGTTGGGGAGAGCTTGGACGGGAGTGCGACTCAGCGGGTAAAAGTATAGTCTGAGCTGGGTGTAACACTAGACAATATGTGGCGCATACTAAATCACTCGCTTCGTTGGAGGAGAGACTCACAGGAACGAGGTATGAATAGTGACTGGGCCCCTTTCCCCGCGTAAAGTGCCGGTACTGCACTTGTGGGACCAAGAGGCAAACAGCCCACCCAATCGGCAGAGCGCGGGGCGCAAATCTGCGCTAGTGCCAAGGGAACAAGCTATCATATGGTGTTGCGATACCGGTATCATACGGAGAACGAGCACTTGTGTCTCCGCGCCAAGAATTGGCATCCTCTCCAGAACAGCCACAATGAGCCCCAGAAAGAGCAAACTGGCGCCAATTCTTGGCTCGGGGACACCTGTATGATACTTGTACTCGAGTACTCGTATCATACCGACAGACTATTCGAATTAGGAGGGCATCATACGGCAAATCTCGAGGTCATGGATAGCGCTCGCACAGCCCGGATGAGGGTTCGGGATTTGTTTAAGTTACCGGTAACGGATAGCGAGAGTGGTCAGGCACTAGTGCTTTCGAATGAGAACTTTATTCTCGCTTTGTCTCGAAATTGTATTAAAACGCCATATCCTAACTCTGTATAGCCGGGACTAAACCCTTCAGGGAGCCGATTTTGACGCAATTCTAAGTTTCACATCAGCCGCTTTTATTTCAACGTGGAAGTGTCACTGCCTTCCACCCAGGTCACTGGAGGCACGATACCTCTTCCGAGGGAGGCGGTGGTGCTCGCTATCCAACCGGTACCATTCTGTAGAAACTCGAATAATCGGGCCAAGTGCTATGATATCTCATTGGAGCTGCCTTCTCTGGCAAGGTTTGGTGCTTTTTCCGTTTTTTTGTCTCTCAGAGGGGCCGAGCCGCTCGCCTCTGCCGTGCTCCTCGCCCCTTTCTGGAATTCTCGACAACACAGCACACGATCCAGTTATTCCGGCTTCCACGGACATCCTATCACCCGGAGGAACGCCCACTCAGGTAGGTGGTACCCATGTACTCGAGTACAGTACATCCTATGAATAATCACTTTTTCTTGCAGGGTGCATCAGCAAACCTTCAACTGATTGTTCCATCGGCCAACCAGGTTTAAGTTTAATGATGGCTGTGTTTGCGGATGTAACGGTACGACACCAACATAAGTAACGCCTGGATAGTGATAAACGGTTTAAATATGGCGCCAGAAGTCGTGGAGGGGAAGTGTGTAACCCCACCGCTTCGATCTCTTTAATTGGCAGGAGGCAGTCAACTGCCGGCAGGCTATTTCGAAGTTCAGAACCACGGTGGATTCAATATTTGCAGGCCAGGGGGGCTACATAGTACACACTCCCCCCCATCGCCCCTGGCACCGTACCGTACCGGTACTCGCACAAGCACTCATATCAGCCAGGCCTTGGGTGGTCAGCCAAATCAGAGGTGTGGCGTGTCCCTATCGATAGGATTCCAATCCCTGTCGGTAGTGGTGTTGTGGGTGACACAAACCCAGGGACATCGGGCTATCAGGGGTGGAAGTTTTGAGGCTCTGTTTGGTGTGCTGTTCATCGGATGTGGGACATCTGTTAAGAAACCCGGCGCCCGCGGGTCTTTCCCCACCCCGACCCCAGAGCAATTAGTGTATCAAGGTTGTTTGACTCTTGGTTCAAGAAAAATCAAGATCGTGGCATCGGTAAAGAGGCACCGTACGGTGGGCTGCACCCCCGAAATTGTATGGCGCAAGTACTTTTATCGTGCCGTACCGTACTGTACCGTACCGGCAGTCGTTAGTGAGGTGAGCGGGACGGTGTTCAACCCGGGGGGAACCCAGACGCACGAGCTCCACGGAGACTGGCCCCAAACACGGGACAGTCCTGAGTTGCACGCGCTGTGCTCAACCAATGGAACACATTTTTAGTATAAAGATGAAGCAGGACAACTCATAATGTAGAAATGTAGATATTGAGCCCTATGGTTAGTTCTCGTTAAATCATAAAATGTCACTCTATTCCTTTACGCCCTATATGACACTAGTAACCAACCCTAAAGCAGAAATGGGGTTAACCTCGGCTGTACCGGTGTGGAAGTGTCTCTGTTGGCTTCTGTAATTTGGATGGTGTGGTTGACCAAGCTGATGCCTGTGCAATATTGTTGATCATACAACATTACATTCAATCAGATAAGAGGGTAGAATTATGCTGATAAGATTGACAGTAAAACACAGTGAGAAAGCAAGATAAAAAAGAGTGGGGAGACAGCACCCAGAAACAACAGAAATGAAGGTGGTGTAGTTGGTTGTACAGGATGGGGCCCTCATGCTTCATTCCTCCTCTCTCTGAGGAAGGCAAGGCCATGCCTAGTATTTAGGTTAATTTATTATATTTATGCCTCCAGGTGAAAATTTTCCACCTGCTAAGCTTCACCCCAAACAGAAAATTCTATGGGCAAAAACCCGCAAAACATGACCAGAAAACCCCTAAGACCTTTATCACGCCACACCGGTATACCGGTTTGATCTGAACGCCCTGGTATTCGGGAGTGCGGGGATTCATAGAGCATTGTCTAGTACAGGTAACTGAAATTAGAGTATTATATACAAAGATACTCCATAAGTAGTAGTTGCCATTCCATCAATCTGCGCTCAATCGGACCGCTGCTATGACCTCCCGCGAACCTTGACGCGTATCGGACGCATTCGCACCATACCCGCCGGCTCTATAGTACGAGCTCTCAAGGACACCAAAACCAAATTGGTCGGGCCTCAATGACTTTCGCACGAGGCAAGCATTGTACGATGCTTGCGCAAGTGCCGCGCAGTGCGCTGGGCAGCTAGGCGTGAGTGGATCCTATTCAGGCACTCCCTTACTGTAGAAGCAAATCTCGCGCGCTAACATTAAAGAAAAAAGACTTGAACCCCCACCCCACAACGGTCGGTATCTTTTTCGTGGCTCGAGTTTTAGAGCCGGGAGGTGATTCACGGTTTGATAAAACAAAAAACTTATAAGAGCCCACGTTCCACTTTCCATAAGTAATAACTCGACTAAGTGTTTTTCGACTCTGACCAGAAATTTGCGGTCGCGTTCTTCTGGTAAGCAACCTGGTGGCCCTGGCCTCTCTCCCTGTGCGAGTACTGGCCGCCAATTCTGTCGGACTTCGTTTTTGGATTTCCGGACTTCTGGTAGAAGTAGCTGCCGGTCGTCGGTGAGCGGTGCGGCATCGGGGTGGGCCAAACGTTTGCATAAGGACTTCGTTACAAAGGGGCTATGGTACGGTATGGGGAAAGAGTTGTCATCCCGATTACGCAGGCGCTCTCGACTGGTGATGCGAGCGCAGCGGCTGCTGCAGGAGGACTGGCTGGGGGCGCCCAAAGTGCCTTCCGGCAAGTCCAGTGCTCATCTCACTTCGGCCGACAAGAGTAAGAGTGCCACCTCAGCGACACGAAGTGCGGCTTCAGAGGCCGAGGTGCCATTCCGCGGGCTCCCGGGCCCCGGGTGTTCCCTTGATCCAGAGAGAGATCCCTCTTACTCACTTTTAGATATGCTGACCATGGTACCGCTATTCACCTGATATATGGGGGGAGAAAGGATTGCCGGGAGTGGAAGCATGAGACTCCAATTTTCTGGCCGAAGCCTTTCCAACCTCTATGCATGCGAAAGAAAGTACGACTTGGGAGCCCGGGTTTGGAAACTCGTTACGGATGGGGTGGCAGTTCTGGTGCTCTTCTGGATGCTTGTCCGCTTGCTACCGGCTTCTGTTTTCTCTGTTCTTCCATTGTTGTTGCACCCATGTATGTACCCTCATATCCCGTCACTCGTGGTTCCATCGTGGAGAATCAAGAATTGAATGAGGTATGTACCGGTATCATAGTGGGATCACGGTTGAGGTGGGGACAAGGGTTTAATGTTCCGGTATCCGGGTACGTACGAGTGCGAGTAACCTGAATACCGGTAGTAGGGAGGAAAAAGGAAAGAAACTCCTCGAAGGGTTCTAGGGACGGCCGGAATATGCGGCCGTACTAGCCCCCCTCCCCATATTCCCCGCAACGGAATCGCAAAGGAGCTTACCAGTGTCATCCCCAACAACAACAGAGACGGGGAACACCGGTGAGAAATAGAAAGTGAAGAAAAAGTAAGCACAATTTTGCGATAAGAATCAAGAGACACCGCGTCTATTTCGCGAGATCCGCCGCGTGAGACCCTAACTTACTAATTAACGCCTTTGTCATAATCCAAATCCCTCGATTCAAGGATCTTGGCTCCCTAGAGCTACTCGCGAATAACTTGTCGGTAGACAATGCCGGGGTATTGTCTCATGGGAAAAGAATTGTAGGGTACTTGTACCGGTATTTTTAGCAGCCCCTTGCGAGGAGGAGGCTGAGACGGCAAGCCGAGGCCACGCGATGGGGTTTACTTGCAGTTTGATTCGGTTTGCGCTGCCGGTAGCTTCATGTGGTGGTAGTGCTCGGATGATGATGATGGCCATTTCATGCAGTGGGGTATCTTGGGGCAGAGTGCTTGCATGCTATTCTATTTTGCGGGAAAAAAATAAAAATAAAACTGTAAAAGTACTCGAGTACAGTGCTCGACGTGCGTGCGGAGTTTAAACTTACTGTACTTGTACAGTACAGTGTGATGCATTGTTGTGCTCGTGCTTTACGCATGTACTCGAGTATTTATGCACGATTATGTATGTACGGTACGAGTACAAGTGCCAGGGGGTATTTGTAGGTGCTCCTGTTGTACGGGTGGTTGAAAGCCGGATGCCAGTGGCGGTTGAACAGCAACAGCAAGTGTCAAAACGAAACTGATCATCAACTCCTTGGCAACTAACTGTGTACCGTACTCGAAAATTATTGTGTTCATACTCCGGAGTGGGGAAAAATGTGTGGTGTGGTGGACATAACCACAGTTGCGGTTGAAGCGGAGGGGAAGTGAAGGGAAGGGGAAAAAGGGGAAATAACGTCGATACTTGTGCTCTCACTAGTTGCAAGTCGCTGGGTGGTCAATCTTTAATAACAGTGCTAACTTGTTGTGCCACATCCCTATTATGGCGTTTTCTGGCCAGAAGCCCACTCCTCCGTGAACAGTGGCCGCAGACTGGAAGAGGGCCCCATAATAGAGCGTATTTCCTGTGGACCGGATGCACCTTGGACCCCTCTTCTCTTCGTTTTCCCACTCTTCGTGGGATTGACAAGGGGAGTTTGTTGCATCGCACTTGGGCCTTAACGGGTCATATTTGATACCAGCCTGCAGCGCCGAAATTGGGATGCGTACTGTACCGGTACTGGTATAGGACAGCCCAACGGCGTTCGGTTGTTCGGTTTATCAATGCAAGCCAACTTATTTTTTTTTCTTCCTTCATAACTCCACCCGGTTCGAGGGAAACCTGTAGAACAGAGTAGGGAAGGAATACCGTAGAGCACCAATGACATGTCTATTACAAACCTGAGGCGTAATTTCAAGGATATCCACGTTAACTTGTGTGAGTACCGTACACTGTGTAGGGTTAGGGTTCTATACCGAATGGTTTTGGTTGTGTCACTCGTGGTGGTGTTGCCGGTTGACGGCGGGGAGTTTGTTTTTTCATTTTTATGGGGAGTTGAAGCCTATTTTCCTTTTCCTTTCACCAGTCCTTTCACCTTCTCCTGTTTGCCCCTTCCTTTATGTTTTCCCCAAACGCTTGAGCTAGTGGCTTTTTCAATCTCGACCAACTGGAAAAAGACGAAGGCGAGGCGAAAATGGGTTAATACAGGGATGTTAGAGGCAGAAAGGCATTTTAGAGGGTTGGGGTTACCGATTAGGGTTAGCGGAATCCAATTTGAGTTGGCGTCTCCTGCGGTGATGGTCTCAAGTCGCAACCAGAGGCACACCACTTGCTGGTATGTACTCTCTCCTGCTGTTGCCCATTCATTCTGCTTCTGTCACTGTTTCCTGGCCACCACGCTTTTTTCACCCCCTCCCCTCCTCCTTCAGTGGTTACTGCTGTTTTCTCGCCCGCCTGTTAGTCAGTCGGGAAGACTCAAGTGACCGAGCCAGTCTACCTTTCGAGCCAGCATTCAAACGGAAAAAAGAGCGAGAGAAAGGCTTGGTCTTGTATGAGCCACCAGTGAAAGTGAGGGAGGTCGAGGACGAGTGAGCGAGTGAGGAAGAAGCCAATACAGTGCAAAACGGAGAAGCCCTGGATAGGCAGGATACGGTATTTCTGTTACAACAGAAGATAGGACTACGGTACGGTAGTGCACGGGTCTCTTGTGGTGAGAGGCCGAGAAGAGAGACCAAAGAACCACCAACCCACCCTACACTCGCTGCATTCACTGCACTCCCCACCTTCGCCATCCTCCCTTTCTCCCAGAGTTCACCTCCAACAGCAATAATATCCAGCACTCCCAACGGCTGGGCCCTTCATTACCATTTTTCCTCTTCTCTTCCACCAAGAACCTCGGCCCCCCTTTCCTTTTTCTTTCCTTCGACATTAGGGTTGTTGTTCTGCTCCCTATTCCGTTCATTTGGACCCTTTAACCCGTGTTTCTCTCCCTATTTAGGGCATTACGACACCGCATTCTAAGGCGCTCCGCTCTTTTCATAGGCCCCAACGCCGATATCGTACGTGAAAGATACACACAAGTTCCCATCTACTGTATCTGGGGATTATCGGATCGATACCTTACTACCGCTTCGCAATCTTTTTATCCAAGTCATTGTTCCCAACCCCCGGCCACGGAGCATCGACATATAAATTCTTCCCATGGAGCCGCCAACAGTACCTCATGTAAACCCCCCACCTCGACGGCACCGTCCCCAGCAACAGATCCGTGGTATGGATATATCGACATCAGCGTCCTCAGGGTCGATGTCACAACCTTCCCATACACGTGCTCGTCGTGAGAATCGTCTCGCCCCTTATTCTACTGTTGGGCAGTTTTCCCTTGCCCCGACTACTCAGACCACTGTGGTCACCACGACTACGACAACTACTACATCTTTTCCCCAATTTCTCATGAAGCCTCCTAGAAATCTGAACGAACTGGACCCCAAGGAATTCCCCCTAGCCGCTGTACCAACACCATCGAACCTCAAGAGATTTTGTTTCGATCTGAATGGGAAACCGACCCACTTTCGGGAGACGGATGACCCGGAGCAATCTTTGAGAGAGGTAAGGAATGGGGTTTCGGCCTGGACTTCGAGTCTTCGGGGGTAGCCGTTTGCTGATAGAAATATGTGGATATAGTTGGGCATGCTTGTGCATGACCTCGATCAGAGCCACGGCCTTATTAGAAAAGTTGTCCGAGGAGAAGAACGCGTGAAGGCCCAGAGTCCTTTAACCAGTCCGCCTGCATCAACCACCTTACCTACGACTTCCCATTCCGCATCGAGTCGGAAACGCCCTGCCTCCCCGGTATCGATCTCGGAGGCAGCCGAACGCGTATCCTTGCTGCAGAAAGGTAATAAACGCCGACAAACAGGAAGACCCAGGTCAGGTACAATCTCTAGCAAGGCCAATACACCTTCACCAAAAAAGTATCTTCGCTCAAGTCGCAATACTACTCCAGCCACGCCTGTGGAGATCAATCCCCCTACTACTCACGCTCCTAGGCCTGTCCGTCCTGTACACCAGCAATTAAGCCAGCTCCAAAATTCACAATCATTATTTGCCACCACTAATCTCACGCCAAATCAAAATCATCAGCAAGAGACTCCACTGACTTTATCCCCGCAGATGGGGATAAAACTGTTGGATTTGGAGGCTGAAGACTTGGAGATGGGCTCAACCCCTACCCCACAAGAGGATCTTGAGTTGGACGATGCTGAATCGGATTCAACTATAATACCCACAACCCTATCGCCCGATACCCAACATACGGCGAGCGATGGTGTTGCTGTCGGGTCTGCTCAGCCACTTAGCCTTCCAAGTCCGAGTCTAAGTCCTGTGACTGCCGCCTTGACTCACGGAGGTAGTTATTTCTCGGCGATGGATGCTGATGAAATAAACTCACCACTTGAGCTGCCACCCAGCGAGGAGGATGTGGCCGACGAGTCAAATCAGTTGGCAGTAAGTCCGCAAAGGCATATCATGCAGCTGCAAACCCCTCGAGAACAATATGCGCCTGGGTTGATGGAAATTCCCAAGATGCTGGATTCCTTTGATGCCATGCCTTCTGCTGTTAAAACTTACGTTATGTATCAACTTCTCCGCCGATGTTCCAAGAGCACACTCCAAACAGTTGCAGAGGTGGTCAACCCTGCTCTCAAGTGCGACTTCCTTACCCTTCTGCCCCCCGAACTCTCCTTAAATATTATCAAGTATCTGGACATTAAGAGTCTTTGCAATGCTGCTCAAGTATCAAAACGTTGGAGGATTATCATCGATTCTGACGAATGGACATGGAAGAAACTGTTCGACAACGATGGGTATGTGCTAGGAGACGGTGAGCTGGATAGGGCCATACGAGAAGGTTGGGGTTTCCAAGATCCACAAGGCGATGATGACTGCGAGAGAGATGTCAACGCAGGAACCAGAACCAATTGCTGTGCCCCCCCGACTCTTACGACTCCGCCGCCGCATGGAAGGCAAAAGAAGAAGTTCAATACCAGAGCGAATTCCAAGAAACAACAGAAGAAGCGTGAGGCAGTTGAGACACTTGGGAAGGAGGAGTTTAACGAGGTTATATCGGAAATTTACTCCAACTCTGTCGGCCCTGTTGCGGCTGCTAACGCTGCGGAAAAGGCCGGCTCCAAGGCTTTGGTGGGATTGCAGTCGCTAAGGAATCTGCATCTGTTTAAGTCTATCTATCGAAGACACCACATCATCCGCCGCAGTTGGATACGACCACAAGTGAAACCGAGGCATATATCCTTCCGTGGCCATCAGAGACACGTGGTTACTTGCCTGCAATTTGACACAGATAAAATTTTGACGGGCTCTGATGATACCAACATCAACGTGTACGATACCAATACGGGAGCGTTGCGAAACAAATTGGAGGGGCATGAAGGTGGGGTTTGGGCTTTGCAATACGAGGGTAATACCTTGGTATCCGGCTCAACGGACAGAACTGTCCGAATTTGGAATATCGCTGCCGGTGAATGCACCCAAATTTTCCATGGGCATACTTCGACTGTCCGATGTCTGCAGATTCTCATGCCAACTAAGATCGGCGTTAAGCCGGATGGTAAAGATTTAATCATGCCGAAAGTGCCGTTGATAATTACAGGATCCCGGGACTCAACGCTGCGAGTATGGAAGCTTCCTATGCGTGGCGATAAGCCCTATCTACCGGGAACTAGTCGGGATGCCAATGATAACGATCTTTTCCTGAATCCTAACAATAATCCATATTTTATTCGTACTCTCTCAGGCCATCAGCATTCTGTTCGCGCGATTTCAGCACATGGGGATACGCTCGTGAGTGGTAGTTACGATTATTCTGTTAAGGTCTGGAAAATCTCTACTGGAGAGACTGTGCATACACTGCGGGGGCATGTGCAGAAAGTTTATAGCGTCGTGTTGGACCACAAGCGAAACCGCTGCATCAGTGGGAGCATGGACAACTTGGTCAAGGTCTGGTCATTAGAAACTGGGTCTGTGATTTACACTCTTGAAGGCCACACTCAACTTGTTGGTCTGCTTGACTTGAGTCATGATAGACTTGTCTCGGCTGCCGCAGATTCGACATTGAGGATTTGGGATCCAGAGACTGGGAATTGCAAGCACACACTCTCGGCGCATACAGGAGCGATCACCTGTTTCCAGCATGATGGGCACAAGGTTATCTCTGGCTCAGATAGAACGCTCAAAATGTGGAATGTTCAAACCGGCGAGTTTATTCGTGATTTGCTGACCGACTTGAGCGGTGTGTGGCAAGTCAAATTTAATGAAAGAATTTGTGTGGCTGCCGTCCAGCGTGACCAGGTTACTTATATCGAGGTAATTTACTTCTCAGTTTTTTTTTTTTTTTGTCTCATTGATTCTTTTAGGTGCTCGACTTTGGCGCTGCACGGGATGGTATCCCCGATGACAAGCGTGGCCGTAGAATCGTCGTTGACAGGAGCGGTCGGGAGATTCCCGATGGGAACGACACTATGGATGAAGGTGAGATATATTCATTATATTGGAGCTGAGAATGAGTACCTAATTCTATTGCTAGCTGGCGATGATTTTGATTGATTTGCAAAGAGTTTCGCGCCGGTTGTTGCGCCTTTTCCGTTTATTTATTTCCCCCTTATCTCTTATTAAACGCCCAAGGGCGGAATTGCATAGTGGTCGAGTATGTCGGGGCGTGGATAAGGTTGATGGAAAGTGCCTATCTTGGTCGAGCTTGGGCTTCAGAAAAAAACAGGGGGTTCAACTGCCAAAGTAGAAGAGCGTTATGGGGATTATTTTTAACACTCCTCCCCGATTTGGCACGTATTAAACAAGTCCGTTTGTATTTCGCTACATTTTGATTGACTTGGTATTTCCTATACCTTTACGAGCATTGCTACGGCTTTTCCTTTATTCTTTTCTCTTCCGTTTTTTTTTTGGGAGGTGATTCGGTAGCATGGGCCGTTGATGAATTTCTTTTGTTTACATGCCTTTATTATTTTCCCTCTTGCACCTCCTCTCTGCTGTATTTCTTCGGTCTTGCATTTGGTTTTCACTTCTTTTTTGCACATATACGTCTCATTCTTGTTCCAAAAAGGGTTGTAATTTTTGCGCTTTGCTTTTGGGTTAATTTTTTGCTGGTTCAGATATTTTCTTTTCTCTTGACTTTGAGGCTATAGGGAGATAATGAGTATGGGCTGGGAGAAGATGTATAACTTGATTGTGTTTGTGTCCAACGCACAAGTTTGGAGTTATCTCCTCGCACTCATTACATGGTGAGTTGGTTTTGATACCTGGAAATGGTATTCTCCAATGCACGAGAAACATACATTGGTTGGTGTCCACTTTTTCTGCTCTTTTTTGTCTATTAGTTTGTTTGGATGGTGAGGTATCTGGAACATCAAAATTGCATGTATAATGAGTCGGGCAAACGCTTTTCCATTTCCATTTCCATTTTTTTTATTACCCCCGTTGTGCTTTCGCTTTGGGGACGTTTCTCTGCTCTACGAGAATCCCGGGTGATGTCCTTCCTTTGCTTCTTTCCTTTCTTCTTTTCCGATGACCTTTGCTGCTTTAGTCTCCTTGCGTTGGTAGTCATAGTGGGTGGAGTGGTGGTAGTGGTTGGGATAATCCTTTCTGGACTTTGATATCTGAAGGGTTGGGAAAGAGCACCAGAAAAAAAAAGCGAATGACATCATCACATTATAGACCTCATTATGCTCGGGCGTCAGTAAATATCGGAAAACTGTTCCTGCTGGCCCCGTCCAAATCTCTATAGGAGACAATGGTTGTGCTTTCTGGGTTTTGTGAACACACCCGATACCTTTGTATATTGTGGGCATTGTGATCGAGGTGTTTTATATTCTGAATCTAGGAAAGCTTGGACCTATCCTGCTACACGGGGTGCCATTCCAGATCAGAGCCCCCGTCTTAGTTAGACTAGCAGCGTAGAATTTGTGACGCATCCCGCAACTTTTTCCATGATATCGGAGTACACTATGATAGCAGTATCATATTATAATAATGTTTCCACGTGCTAACTCAACAAACCTTGCAACCGCAACAACCCCGAATCGCTGGATTCCCCACTTAACTTACAACACTCAACCACCTTCCACCACCACTACCACTACCATCTAAATCCCCCAAGATGCCATCAGGGACCTCCCTCCCGCCCCCGCTACCAGCACTAATCTTAGCCCTCCTGGGCGTGCTCACAGGCTACTACATCGGCAAAACCTCGGGTGCCAAACCCACCAGGCGAATCAAAGAGCCAAAATCCTCAGCACCGATATTCCCCGACGACTCTTTCATACCCGTTTCCCCAACCGCGAAATCCTCCTCCCCCTCCGAGGATAACGATGACAACGATGACGACGACGACTGGGCAACCACCTCCTCAACAATAAACCCCTACACCAACCTCTCAGAGGACTGTAAGATGGTATTCGTGGTGCGCACGGACCTATCTATGACGAAGGGGAAGATAGCAGCGCAGTGCGGCCACGCGACGCTCATGTGCTATAAGACCGTGCATAAGCATGCTCCCAGCATACTAGAGCGGTGGGAGAGGCTCGGGCAGGCGAAGATTGCGCTCAAGTGTTCTGGAGGGGAAGGCGAGGGAGGTTTGGACGGGGAGGAGGAGTTGGAGACGTTGGCGGGCGTCGCGGCGAGTTTGGGGGTGGTGGCTAGGATCGTTAGGGATGCTGGTAGGACCCAGATTAAGGCGGGGAGTTCCACGGTTCTGGGTATTGGACCTGGTGAGATTTTTTCCCTTCTATTCTCTTCCTTTGTTGCTTTTGTGGGGAGAGGGGGGGAGAGGAGAGTAGGCTAATGAATTGGTTGGATGTATGGGGGGATAGCGCCGAGAAGTGTTGTGGATCAAATCACTGGGCATTTGAAGTTATTGTGATTGCTGGCTAGATTAGAACTACCGCCAGTAACATGCTAGAATGGATCATAGTATAATCGGTGGCGATATATCATGATGCACAACAGGCGTTGCTTTTTTTTTCTTCTTCTTCCTATCACCCATCGCATCACGATGGACTTGTCCGCTACCGGTGTGCTTCATCAAGCTTGAACGCAAGTTCACCACGTAATCACCCGGCAAATGTCTCTGCAAAGCGGAGTTTCTCTTCGGAGATTGCAGTACGGTAACCTAAGAGGGGGGGGATGCCGATATTCCACAATCGAGGTCTGTGTAGGCGGGAACGGTCCGTTCCACTGACAAGAAGAAATTCTGTTTCACAAAGACTTTGCCGGGTGACGAGATCCAGATGTCTTTCCCTACCGTGTTACAGTGTACAGGTATATCCTATCATACATTCATGTGCGGCATAACATACTCGCATCATACTTTAGAATTGCGTTGTGTGCATCGCAGACACGGAACTCATCCCCGGTTAGGGAGAGCTTGCTGTGCGGAGATTTCCAGATCTGTGATATCATACTAGGGATATTTTTAGGAAATAAGGTTTTGGCTGGAAGTAAAGGTTATGATGATTGCTGCCAGGGGTGCTTTCTATGCCGCCCTGTGAACGTGGGATGTAATGTACTCGAGTACTCTACTAGTATAGTACAGTACTTGTAAGTTACTTAGTGGGCGAGTGTTATGAATTATACAGGGAGGTTCACCCAGCCCAAACTACGCGTGATAATAGGGTTGTTAAACACAGGACACGGGAACTCCTAGGTCTGCTCTCGTGTGGCGATTGTTTAATCACATTTACTCTGGGTAAATGGCTGGAAAAATGTGCAACTGTTCACTTCAGGTTGAATGAATAGTAAGACTTTATAAAACGGCAGCTCACAAAACCCTAATGTAACCCAAGAATGGGGGAGAAATAAAGAAAAAAAGGTAAAAGTGGTGACATTGGGTATTGAACTAATCCGCCCTGTCTACTGCCCAGGTGCAACAAGTTTGCCTTTCACCCGGGCGTCATGTTCCCAACCACCAGCTAGGGCGTGTCCACCTGAAGCTTGGGTGTGTGCCTGCATCCTCGCCTCCAATTCTGGTCTGAAGTGACGAATAAGACCCTGCAATGGCCAGGCGAAGGCTTCTCCTAAAGCACAGATAGTGTGTCCTTCAACCTGTTTGGTAAGCTCCTGGAGCATGTCAATCTCTCGTTCTCGTCCATGGCCCTTCTCGAAACGTTCCATAATCTGTGCAGTCCATTTTGTTCCCTCGCGACAAGGTGTACACTATGACTGTTAATGAATTATATGAGGTGTAATAGGTTGGGCTCGATAGTTTACCTGGCCGCAAGACTCGTGCTTGTAAAACTTTGAAAGCCTCGATATAGCTCTTACTACATCGGTGCTCTTGTCCATCACGATGACTGCTGCAGTACCTAAACCGCTTTGCACATCTTTTAGGGCATCAAAGTCCATCAAGACGTCATCACAGATATTTCGGGGTAAAATCGGGGTCGAGGAGCCACCGGGAATAACGGCTAGTAGGTTATCCCATCCGCCCCTGACGCCACCGCAGTGTCTCTCGATTAGCTCCTTTAGAGATATTGACATCTCTTCTTCAACGGTGCAAGGGTTATTGACATGCCCAGATATACAGAAAAGCTTAGTCCCCCGATTGCGCTCTCGCCCGAATGAGGCAAACCATGAACCACTTCTTCGGCAAATTGTGGGGGCTACGGAAACAGTCTCGACATTTGCCACGGTTGAAGGGCATCCAAATAAGCCGACAGAGGCGGGAAACGGGGGTTTTAGTCTAGGCTTGCCGGGTTTGCCTTCTAGGGATTCAATAAGTGATGTCTCTTCCCCACAGACGTAAGCCTGCCAATCAAACTGGTAAGCATTTTCCGTCCATCATTTGGAAAAGGAACGACAAAGCTCACTCCCATTCCTCTGTGAACGAACACGTCAAAGCTGTACCCACTGCCACAAGCATCCTTCCCAATCAACCCGGCGGCATAGGCTTCCTGAATAGCCCTCTGCAGAACGGTAGCCTCATGGTAAAACTCGCCACGGATGTAGATGTAAGCTGCCGTAGCGTTCATAGCTCTTCCGGCAACTAGGCATCCCTCAACCAACTTGTGAGGGTCTTTACGCATGATCTCACGGTCTTTGCATGTGCCAGGTTCTCCTTCATCAGCATTGACGACGAGGTACCGTTCTTTAGTTCCCTTATCCCATCCGGGTGGGTTCATGAATGACTATCAATCAATGTTAGCTAAAGCCGCTCAGTGAAGATCCTATAGTTCATACATACCCATTTCATACCCGACGGGAACCCAGCGCCACCACGCCCACGGAGACCGGAAGTCTTGATCTCTTGGATAATCTATTCCTTAGAAAATTAGTGCTCATCCAACAACTCATGTACTCAGCAGCGGCGGAGCACATACCCAGTCATGCCCCTTCAAGAGAATCTCCTTTGTCTTATACCAATCCCCATATTCCATAGCAGATTTAAGGTCAGTGCCGTGATGGCCGTAGAGATTCTGGAAAATTCTATCTTGATCACTCAGACCTCCGTAGGATTTCTTCGGCGCGGGGGAGTTGCTAACGGTAGCTAGGTTACGACTCCCTTGTTGGCGATAAACGGCCAGAACAGACGAGCGGGCCAAGCACGAAGACACCACCGCGGCTACCGCACCACATTGTGGGCTCCGTGCTAGAAACATTGCTTGGTAATTTCGGCTTCAACAAGCTTGATAGTTAAGCGGAGGGATTGAAGGGTGGAGGGATTCGGGGGGGGGTTTCTTGGTGAAGCGGTTTTGGTGGCAGCCCTTCGATTGTCGTGAGCCCTCTCCCGACAACGGCGTGACGACCGATATTGATGACGATGAAGTTATTCGAGACGGGGGTGGGATGCTGAGATAATCGAAGCGGGTGGGAATCTGATTGGGCGAAAGGGCTTCAGCACTGCAGGACCGGGAAAGGAAGAAAGGGCAGAAACAAGGGTAAACTTAGAAATCTCACCAACGGGAATGGGCGATCCAAATCATGCCCCCAATTTTTATTTCACTTTTCATGAGTGCTTTTCCTCCTGTCACCCGGATTATTTGCCGACTAATGATCTCATTCTAAGATTTTGAGCTCTCGGTCCATACCTTCCAGGAACTCTAAATTATTATAAAACTGCTTTTTTTCTTTTTTCTCCGGAAAGAAAGAAGACTCCGGCCCAAAAGCAAAAAAAAGGAAGAAAGAAAGCCATAAAATTCATTCAAAAACTACTCGTACTCCCATGTTCCCCGTATCCCTTCCTTGCCCTTAACCCTCTGATAAAACTGCACGATGCCTAACCCGTATACATGACCAAAAGAAAAGTCACTAGTATGAACCCAACCCATGCTACATACAGTACAGTACATGCATCTGAACGAAAGGGCAACCCCAATACATAAAGAGACTATGTGAGTGAAGAAAGAAAAGCCCATTATTTTGTTGAATTCCATGACGAACATTGACAGGATAGAGGAATATGAGGACCATGACGATGATAATGATAACGGAGGTGCAAGCTTCAAACCCTTAAGAAGTGAAAATTCGCTGATTCCAGGGCCATGTTTGGAATGGCTGGCACTGAGAATCGAGCTAGGAAAATAAGGAGAGAAATGCGGAAAGAATTGCGGGAAATGGGCTTGTGCAAGGTCACCATCTAGTAACAGGGGAGAAAGTATGATGTCTAGTCAGCCCATTTACCATCTATGGCCATAATACTTGCAGGCAACTTATCCCAGCCGGTCATTTCGTGCCGGTTTTCTGAGTTTCCCCAGCAGCGGGTTCCGATTTCCCTTCCACCACAGTCGTGACTGATGCTGAGGTTTCGCTCGTGGACTTGCCTTGATCTCCCACCCCAGCTAGGGTTAATCCGTGAATCTCATCGATGAAATCAACTTCGCCTTCATCTTCTTCAAGAACCGCACGCTTCTCTGCTTCACGGGTGGCAACGGGCTTGTTTCTTAAAACACCTCCAGAAATCAATTCGTCATCGTCTTCATCCGAGCTCTATAGAAACCCATGATCAGTTAGGTTAGCCCAGATCAGTAGCCACTGAGTGGGCACAAAGAGGGGTTGGATGAGTGGTCCTCACGTCTCCATCACCTGTGAAGTCACCAACTTCTTCTATCTCTTCAAACCCACCCTCTTCGCCTTCAACTTCAATACCAGCGCTAGCGCCTACATTCGCCGCATTTGTAGCTGTTGCTGGTGAAGATCTAGTGATGTTTAGAGGCAATGGAGGGGGGGGCGGTGGCTCGTTTGGAGCAGTTGCGAATGATATATCATCGTCATCGTCCTCTTCGTCTGAAGATCCGAACTTGTCGACATTGGTTATTTCTTGTGAGATATACGAGGCAAACTATAGGCATTTCAAGGAGTACTCGTTAGCAATCCTGGTCTTACTAACCTCTTTCGACATCCCACATTATAATGGATGGCACAGAGATCTCTCTATAGAGTGGAGAAAATAAGAAGACAGAGGGGAACGAAAGGTATTGAAAAGGTGGCTTTAATATTATGAAGAGCCAGGGGAGAAAAAGAAATAAGGTAAGGAGAATTTGCTGTGGAAAAAGCCCTAAATATCAAAAAGCAAACCAGTACTCCGTGTCTTTCTTCAAACACCGAAAGCACACATTCGATACAAAAGTAAACAGCGGGGAAAAGTAACTTTCCCTCATTTTGACAGAATAGAGTTATAGACAGGTAATTCGTGGACTCATAGGAAAGTCATGTCCTCAAAGAAATCATCTTCAAGGTCATTATCAAACAAAAGATCGGTAAGGTCACCCACTTGATCGCTGCTGCCGCTGAGCCCTAACCTGCTAACTTCATCGTCGTCTTCATCATCACGTTCCATATCCTCATCCTCCTCATCGCTTGAGCTTCCGAAACCGCTTAGGAGACCTCCAGCGCTACCGCTAATCCCGGCTCCGCTACCTATGCCCGCAGATCCGCTGTTTCCGTTGGCTAAATCGATGGTTTCTAAGTTTCCACTCACACTATTCCCTAGAATCAAAGATCCGGAATCAGAAAAATTACCATTAAATGCTTGTGCTTGCACCGCGTTGAGAACAGCCTGTCGTGGTCCTACGCTCATGTCCGGCCTGACCCCCCCTAGGATAGCGTTGTCTCTTTCTCTTGTGGCTGCCAAAGTCTCTTCGACGTATTCAATCCATAAAGGATCCGAAACCTTTTCAATGACTTTATGGCCGAGGATCTCTGGAGGATGGCGCTCGGCGAACTTAACTACCTCCTCTGCAATGAGTGTTAAGTGTCCCATGTACCCAAGGCGCATCTTTTTCTCTGCCTCCACCTTGTCGGACGCCTTTTGCCCCTCCACAATCCTCTCAGTGATGCGGCCGGTGGCAAAGAGGTCGATAGCAAGGGCACGGTTATAACCCCGCTCCATTGGGCCATTGAAGACCTGCTGTACAACATCATAGACGACGTTGTGTAGGAAATTATTCCAAGGGAACCGGAAGAAGAAGTCCTGCAGGTAAATAATAAGTATCGACCAGCCTATAGGAATCTAAAAGCAGTGAAAACCACCACACACCAGTATCGTGGGAACCACAGAGTTCTCAACAAACATCATTTTCAAATAGTCCCCTACGACAGGATTCCCTTCGAAATCCTTCTCGATCATAGTCTCGTATTCTTCAAAACTCGAATTTCCTGTAGATCTGAAAGTAGTAGTACTGTAGGGTGAACCTCCCCCAAGGTCAAGTAGGTCTTCTTCTGGGTCATCTACTTGCTTAGATTTCCCGAATGCCTCTTTGGGGAGCGGGGGGAGATCAGCGTCCATTCTATCCTGGGATATCGACGGGGGTTGTGGATTTAGAGGTGCGGCAATTGAAGTAGTTTTGAGATCGTCCACAAGTGACCTGCCGCCTTTCAAAAGGCTACCATTGTCATCATCCCCCTCCGCCGGAGGCGGAGATGGTGCTTTGGGAACATCAGTTATCATGAGATCCCCCTCAATAGTTGTTTCTGTTTTGCTGCCCCCCTCCTGTTGAGCCTTTTCTCCCGATACCCTAGGGTCTTTTGACGCTGGAGCCTTAGGGTCGTCCTTTGCTGGCGGCGGAGGAGGCGGGAGAGGCGCATCTTCCATTTTCTCATCTTTAGAATCTAATCCCGCTCCAGGAGATTCTGTGACCAGATCATTGGGTGTTGCTGACTGACCCGGGACGTCGGACGACGGCGCTAGAGCGGGGGTACTGTCCAGTTGGGGGATAGAATCCACAGGTGCTTGGCCTGCAAAGCCGGAGGCAGAGGCTGGAGGCGCATCAACTGCAAGGGCAGCGGGGGATAACGGTTCATCAACAAAAACATCTTCGTCTTCATTCATTTTAGTGTCTTTGGGTTCATCTGGGACATTCTTGCCCAATCCGCCCGTAGCCTTTTGGCCAGTAGCCCCTCTAACTTCATCAAGGAGTCCGGACACAGCAACATCTTCAAACTCATCCTCGTTAAGGCCATCCTCGTCAGTCTCAGCTCCGCCATTCTGTACTTGGAGTGGCGCTTTCTCAACGACTACACCCTCAATCGAGCCATTAACATCATTGGCCCTCTCTACGCACTGTCGCTCTCTCTCCCTCTCTGCCCTCAATCTATCCCTCTCTCGATCCCTCTCCTTGACATATCTTTCACCCCCTCTTTCATTCAAAAGACCCATATTACTACAATGTAGCAATTCGGCCATCAGCTCGCAAGTTTTGAACCTATCGAAGCCCAAGGGTTCAATTGTTTCCCCGAAAGCAGCTCTCAGTTCTCTTCGCTGTTCTGTCTTTGAGCCATCCCCACTTGTCACAACCGTACACTGAGCTAACACCAGCCCCACGAAATCCGGAACATGTTTAGCAAAAAGACGTAGCAAGGTGCCTAGGTAAATGGGATCTCTACTAGAGGGAATGTTATCAACGCTAGCCCCGACGTCAGGGTCGTAATCTGAATTGTTTTTGCGGATCACCTCAATAACAATCCCTACTCCCACAGTGAGAGGGTTACCGCCGTTCAACATGTCCCGGATAAGACCTTGAACGCAGGCCTCGGAGACCAACTGGCGAGTCAAATCATTGGGGCCAATACAAGATTGTTCATTTTGGGACGCATTGGCAGATATTGTAATGATCGCTTTGATAAAATCCCCACTCGAGGTTTGAGTAGTCGCAGGATAGTCTGGTGAAAGGAAGGAGAGTAGTAAAGGTATTAGGTTTTGTGAATGGAGCCACTATTGGGATTTAGTCAGTAAAAAAGCTCCTTGGTGATATCGGGTAAAAACATAGACAGTCGAAAACAGGAAAGCTCACATCTACTATACCAGCTCCCCCTTCACACTTCTCCATACTGATGATCTTGAGCAACAAATCCATGATCATTGGGCAATCCACGTGCTTCAGCATCTTGGGAACAATGCTATCCAAGCCTTTGAAAAACTCCATCATTTCATCCGTTTTTCGGTCTAGTAATGTCTCGTTGACTTTCGTAAAATAGCCAGCCTGTAAAGGATCGAGGGGGGCAGGGCGCTCTAGGAAACTCCAGAACATACGTAGAGGTTGCAGATTCTCCATCAGTGTTTCCGCCATGGACCAGGACTCGCTAGATAGAACCTCGCAGCAAACATAAGCATATTTCAGCCTGATTTTCTCCTCCTTATCTCTCTCTGTTTCAGGGAGTTGATTCCACCCGTTTGGGTTGTCGTCTTCGGGATCGCTTTTACTACAAGCTTCGGCAGCGGCAGCACAGCTCCCTGCCTCTTCAGATACTGGATCTGAACGTTTAGGTGCAACGACGTATTCGAGCAATTTCCACATGACATCCTCTCTCCGGAGAAACTCAATCAACTTTCCGTTCTGTTGCTTAAGCTCTTGGATTAAATCAGATTCCTCGAGTAGATCCTCAAGTGTCACATCAGGTTTCTCAAGAATCGAGTCAAGGGTTGAGATATTGGCGTAACCGCCGAATCGCCAAAACATGATTGCTTGTGTAGATTGTACTGAGGTTTGGCGGGGCGTTATCGGCAGAGCTTAATCTCACCCCTGCAGGGTGACGAGATGATGGATAACAGCGGTGACGACGATGTGCGATATGGAGAGAAACTTCTAAGATGAGGTCTGCATAAGGTCGAGTGGTCAGCCGTTGTCGGGGGGGAGCCCTTGCCGACTCAGGGAAGCCTCAAAAAGGATAGCCACGTGGGTATATCGTAGTCTGCTGCCACGGCCCCCTCGGGGAAGCGGGGGGAGGAGAGGGAGGGGAATGGGGGGTGAACTTGATGAGACTGTCGATGAAGGTGAGGAAGAGTCCCGACAAGCAAACAAGGGATAATAGCAGTGGGTTGAAGTGAATCACAGATCGGGCGCACGTGAGAGACAACAATAATAATATCAGCAAAGCAGATCGGATAAGGTGGTGCTTACTTGAGAATACGGTAGAAGATATGATGTCTGTGCTGAGTTGAGGCGTGTAGATGTTTAGGAATGCCAGGCAGGAAGGTAGGTAGACAATCGGTACCGTAGCCACTGATGGCGGAAAAATGTTGGCAGTTGGCAGCTGCGCCTAAAGGAGTGTGTACGAGGGTCGATGCAAGCAAGGAATGACTGTTTGGCTGCTGACAGTGCAAGTACGAGAGGGATTTGTTGCAGCCCTGGGTAGGAGAAATTACTTAGGGGAGACCTACCGGTATCTTACTTACTACGAGCAAAATGACAACCCACAGAGAGCGGTGAAGTGAACAAAGCAAAAAAAAAAAACAGTAGACAGACATAGGAAAATAAAATGCCGGTACAGAAAATTACCGGAGAGGAGTCTTTGTTTCACCAAAATTTTGTCAGCCCCATAGGATAGACGCAGTGCGATATCAGCGTCCTGTATTCCCTGTTTGAACTACAGGTGCTCATTAAGGGGTGGTTTGCTCTTTTTGATTGCAATGAGAAATCGGGGGTTGACTTCTATACCGCAAGGTTCCTTGAGCGTTTCTGAAATCTTTCAAGCCCAATATTCTCCGTTCTATTGTACTGTACGAGTACCGTACAGCTGCATGGACCTCCCTTAGTTTTTTCTTTTTCCCTTTCTTTTGGGGGATCAAATAAGTGGTATCATACGAGAACAGCTCGATATAAGCATCAAACCTATCTGAACGCTCATGTTCCTGATCGGCATACCGGTATCAGTGCTCATGGTGGTCACGGTCACGTGGCTCATTTGGGCAATCGTCATTCAAATCTCGGGTGAAGTTGCCTGCTGCTACAAACCCACCGGCCCGTCCCCACCAACCCACAAAGACAGGCTTCACGCAGAAGATAGACAATACCTCCAAAATGAATCGTCTCTTCGGCTCCAAGAGCACTGCACCGAAACCAAACCTCCAGGGCGCCATCTCCAATGTGAGTCATTCCGACGGCTACTATTCTCTATTTAGATGGAGCCTCATCCCTCACATCAAGTCTAACAAGCTCGAAAGCTCGAAACCCGGATCGAATCAATTGATGTCCAACTCTCAAAGCTCAATGCGGAGCTCTCCACCTATCAACAGCGCTTAGTTAAAATGCGAGAGGGGCCTGGAAAGAACGCATTGAAACAAAAGGTCTCTAGAACCACCCTTTCTGGCTAAAACCCAAGCTCCATCCTAGGCTCCGTTCTAATTCCTTTGCTCCCAAACAGGCACTCAAAGTTCTGCAGCGCCGAAAGATGTATGAGTCCCAGAAGGATCAGCTCCAACAGCAATCCTGGAACATGGAACAAGCTGGGATGATGCAAGACAATCTCAAAAGTCCGCTTTCCTTATTCTTAACTTTCTCCCTTGCTCCGTTGCTTGTGTCTAGAAATAATTTCTGTCAGGCCGTATCCCTTTCAACATTAGCTGCTTTATGCTTGGTCTTGGGGCGGGGGTTGCTGATACGTAAGGACTCCAACCCAGATGTTATGGTCACGGTCGATGCATTAAAAACCACGAATAAAGAACTCAAGAAGCAATATGGGAAGATCGATATCGACAAGAGTGAGTCTTTACATATTTCACCTATTGCAATATTACCAGGCAGAGGCTTATCCCAGCTTATTGAAAATTAGTCGAGCAACTGCAGGATGAGATGGCGGACCTCATGGACATTGGGAATGATATTCAAGAGTCCATGTCCCGATCGTATGACATTCCAGAAGGTACTCGTCCTGTTTGTTTCACTTGCCCCTACAACTACTCTAACTGAACTTCTAGATGTCGATGAATCCGAATTAGATGCTGAACTTGAGGCTTTGGGTGAAGAGGTAGAACTCAGTGGAGGATGGGATGCTGATACGGTCGGCAGGGAGTTACCGAGTTTCTTACAGAGTGAGCCAGGGATTCCTGATTTCGTGGATGAGCCCCCTACAGGTGAAAAGGTCAAGCAAGCAATTTAGAGACACACCCTTAAACTCAAAGTTCTAGTCCCAATTGGTTGGACTATTTTCCGATAATAAATCCAACTATACCCTTTCCTCAATCTGGTTTGTTGGCTTCCCCTGAATGTAACGGTATCCACGACCTTTTTTTGCCTGTTTGATTGGGGTTGGTGTTCCCGGTGTTCAATTAGGTAGAGCGGTTAGCACAGACGAGCGTTTTTAGTCTATGCAAGAACAACAGAACCGCTTTCAACACCCAGCCTCAAGTATTCTAATGTTCATATATCATCAAACTGTAGCCCCTTTTACCGGCTCTTCCCTCCCATCTTCTCTCCACCTTTCTTCTCCCTCTTTGGTCTTGGATGCTTCAATGGAGTCCACTTATCATTTCACTCCTCATAGCAATCTTTGTCCCTCCAGCGACTAGCTTTCCACTGCGCCACAACACCCTCTATTGAAATATCAAAACCCTTCCGCGTTTCGCTCCAATATTCATAAGCTTAGCCCTATCAGGGCTCCAGAATCTTGTCGACCCCCCGCTCAATCTCAAAGACACAATATCAGTAAGATACAAATCCATCGTTAAGAACGACTTCTGCCTCACCCCCTCACCATTGCCACTATACGCAGCGTCACAACGAGGACCAAAGTGTTGTCCTTCCCCGTATTTCAAGAACCTCAACATTTCATTCAACCTATTTACTACCGGACACCGGCTTCTGGCGACCACAACTAAATTCCCAAACGTGTTATAAAAAAGAGTGCAAACATACATCGCCAACTCTCACTCCTCCTTCTCCCCACTTCCGCCGCCCTTCTTCCCAGTCATATTCTCCAACTCCTTTCCTAGTCACCCAACCTCGCCCAAAAATACCCCACACGCCCGAACACCATCCCGGCTGCCTCTGCATCACGATGCAGGATCCACATAACATCCCAGACCTGCACACTTTTGGCGGTGGGAATCCACTGGCCTGTGGACTCTGCCAGCACGATTAACTCCTCGCATTCGGCTGGAGTGAAGTAGCCGCTTGGGTTGCCGTAGACTTCCGCTAGAGGGGATTAGCCGAAATCTATTCAGGTGGCCATTAGGAGTACCACTGTTGCCATTCGGAGGGTTTGTTTTCCTGAAAAGGGTACAGTAATGTGTTCCGTGCGCTTGTCTTTCCTGAATGTACTCGAGTATGTATGAGTGTTGGGATGAATGGATGTGCATTCATAGATTTGCGTTTGTGGACCTATATACCGTCGGATAGGCTGCATGACATTGAATAGCCCAAAATCAAGGCCCAATACTAGGGATTGCTTCAGGGGGGGGTCACTGTCCTCTGCTAATAAACCAATGGCTTGACATCCACGGTGTGAGCCAATTTCCTGGAATAGAGGTTTGGGAAGGCTTATTCCCTTTAACCACCCCCACCCAGGTTAGCAGCATGCAGGTGCAGTCTCCATAAGGTATGATACCATGTAGATACGGACCAAAGTATTCAGCTTCACGATATATCACTCGGTATGATCGTGGTTAGTATAACTATGCATAGACTTAGTCCCCTCGGAAATAGCACAAAGCTCCAAGGTGTGTTCCGGGTATCTATATATATATATAAAAATATGTAGGGAATTACATGGGCTCGGGTTCCTGCCTACATGGCAACCTTTCTCAAGATTCGTAAAGCCCCGCAGGAAGAACCCGTGCTATGGAGAGACCTAGGGTCATCAATCCGGCCGAGCACTTCAAGGACCAGCACCAATATCCCCCCTCAGCACAGTAAATCCACCACGACATCAACCCCCTCCCCAGAACCACCCTTAATCAGAATTTCATCCCTATATCCCAACTTACCGAGAACGGACGTCTGGATAAGTTTGAGTTTCCGGCAGTCCGAATCCCGACTTACCTCCCCCCCCCCCCCGCCCGCGTGACTCACCAATACGATACAATATCATAGAGAACACGCCGACACCCCAGAAAACCGGTGACGCCTTACACCCCGAACCGGACAGTCCTGCGTATATTATACAGTAGCACAAATACGTGTGTGACAGATCTACCCGGGCTCTTCCTTGGTGCCGGTAACCGGTAATACTGACAGTGGCGTACTCAGGCACCGCACTAGCACCTTGTTTTTTGTTCTGCTCGGACTTACACGCACGTGCGTTCAAGGGGTAAAGTGGTCAGTGCGATCTTCGAGAAGGAAGGTATCGCAGGGGTCCGGGTGGGTATCCGTATCGCAAGTGCCGTAGCGCATCTGCCTATCTGGCACGCCCACGGCGGTATATATACTCATCCGCGTTATCTACTGGCCCGCTCCGTGGGGGGGGGGGGGGTTGCGGTACCGATAGGTGATGTAGGTCAAGCTCTCATAGATAGCGAAATAGGAACCCGTCAGGAAGTCAAAGCTCAATTCTCGATTCCGGTCACCTTAGGTTTTGTGTGAACACGGTTCCTTTTTTTTTTGGAATGTGGTGGGTAATATGTGTAGATGGCGCACCACTCGGAAGACTTCCGCTGATGATGTGGGTCTGGGATTTTATTTTCTTCAGAGTTCATTAAGACTGGGCATCAACTTGTGGTTTAGAGAGATTGGCTTCAGTCCAGGTTGGCTTTTGTGGTATTAGTCGAGTGTTCTTTACCATCACTCGGATGGCTTTAGCGACAGGTTTGGTCTGATGGGTCTACTCTATTAGTACCTGTAAAATCCCAATATCGAGAGAGATTATGCACAAGGACATTCCTTACGTTTTCCTTTCAGGAGATAGTCTCAAGCTATGACCTGGGCCAGCCGTTCGCCCCAAGTATTGCGGAATATAGATATAGATGCGCTATGAAATCACTATCCTACACCAGCGATGTCAGAGTACTGGTATTACACCACCGAAACAATAGTATATCACTTGCACACGCGATTGTAGCAGTATTTACTTGTGTTTTCCTATGGGATATACGGAGTGTTCCAAGCCCAAAGACTGTTCCTATCGTACAAGTCACAGCACTGAGCCATATGCACGGTTCCTTCCACTTACCGGTGCGTTTCTTAACCGGATTTTCGCCAGCACTTATACTTCGCTCGCGGGGAATAACAAAATCTATCATACCTCGTAGTATACTTTATGAGCAATGACCAAGCTTTAAAAACTTCGGAGGTGCGATAATATTAAGAGATTTCTTCACCTAGTAAATGACTGCTTGTTCTGTAGCCTCACTTCCATGACCTACCGTACTCGTAGTTCCTAATTGGACAAAGCATTTTGTACACTCAGTTTGGCTACTCGCTTGGAGATCAGGAATACGTTTCATTGAACGGGTATCGCCTAGTATCAGGGTTCTGGGGAAGTGCAATATGCAACCGTGCGGTGCGACTCATACATGATCCTCCCAAGGAGGTTCCTGTGCGACTCATCGAATTGCGTACTCCTATTTTCCTGCGGTATTCGGGTGTCCAGCCGACAACTCCACACCTTGTCTTAGATACAAGCACCATCCTATGATTGGAGACAGTGGCCAAGCCGGCAAAGGAAAAGAAATTAAATTGAAAAAGGTAGAGTGCGAGCGGGAATGTGGAGAGCCTGAGGGTATCCGGGGGACGGATGGCGGGGGAAACGAGTAGGTGCCAACCCAGAGACCCGGTATTACAGTTCGAAGGAGCTAATGAGAGAAGTTTATATTGACAACTCAACTACAAATTGGAATATCGTAAAAGGCCTGTACGTTAAAGCGCTTACATCTGTCTCTTGGACAACTTTTGGATATGACCGTTAGCCATACTCTTGAAGCTAGAGAGCAAGAAGGTATAAAAGATAGGAAACCCTACCTTCCACTCAGAGTTGACAGCGAATTCTGGAGGAGCAACTGGGTTGTCGGTTTGTCCTCGTAATAAGCCAGTTAGACGTCGGTCTCGATCCATCACTATTCCAAACAGTCCCACGTCAGTACGGATATTAGGTGTTATGATTGACTACCGAGCCGAGCGAGGTGGTACTTTGCTGTAGGCAAAACAAGCATATCATCAGTAATGCATTAAGATATGTCATGGGAGGCCCATAGGTCCCTTACCCGATCCCAAACATCCAAATTATATCTCGGGTTTTTTCCCTCGTTCTTAAGTCTTTTGACGACAACAAGACCCTTTTATGGTGATAATTATTGTCAATACCACTCTAGATGCACGTCTCTTATTGAGCGAGACTCGAGGGCATTGTAACTCACGACGCCTGACACGCCAAACATCTAGAAAGCCCAGTTACGTCAGTGAGTTCCGCGATGATTCAAACCCGACAAGTGTCCATTAAGGAGTATTACTTACGCCAACCATAATGGCATACGGGAGAAGGGCTTCGAACGGGATAGCCATAACGCTCGAACTGCAATTCTATCGTTTGTGTTTCTAACAATAAATCAGACAGTAATCTTCATGGAAGAGGGTCGGGTGGTTGGTGGGGAAGGCGGCTCCACTGCCAAGCATTCTTGAATGTGCTGTGGAAGCGCGCATAGGGAAGAATGCGTTTGGTCCCCAATACAGACTAGCTTGCCTTGCCTTGTGTTACCCTAGGGTCAAGAGTTTGAACCGCGACTCCCACGACTTTGCAGAGAACGCCCTTGTGCAGGGGCTACCAACATGTTCCTGCTCTCCCATCCACTTACCCTCTACGCGTCTCCGAACCGCCATCACCGCTTATTTTCAACTACAGGTTTATAAAATTTCCTGGAAACCAATAATTACGACGTTTGTGGGATTTCGAACCCCTAAACCCACCCCCTACTGCGGTTTTCCCCGACATTGAATTTCACCACCCAACAGAGGCACCCAGCTCACACATCGCTACTCTTTCATCCGCATTGCTACAACCAGATAATTATCGCCGCCGGTGACGGATTTCAACGATTAACCACTTTCACATTCAATACCGGGGAAGGAAGCCTAGCAGGTTTAAATCAGCTAGTTGGATTTTACCACGAAGCTGCCAAGTTGTTTTCTCTACCTACACGGGTGTTGACACTCCTCGCCTCCGACCCCGGCTGCGGTGGTATGGAGGGCCCGAGGAGTGAGGAAGCAGAGGATGACAATGACATTGAGAGTGTTGCGTCAAACAGATCCCGGAGGTCCACTAGCAAGTCTACCTGGAGGCGGAAGGTATGCCCGGTTTTCATTGTAAGTTAATGAAACCCTTAGCTAACGGGACCTTGAACAGCGAGATAATATAGAGCTCAAGAGCGCTGGGGAAGAAGACGAGGAGGCTGAAGACCAGTCCTCTCCAGATGACAAATCAACTTCTGAATCATCCTCTATTGCCACCTCTTCCTCAGACGGCGATGACGATGAATATGGGGAGGATGAGGATGAGGATGAGGATGAGGAATGGCGAGCTGACAATAATGGGGAGCCCTGGCAAGGTGCGGAAGACGAGGATGCCGAAAAGCCTGCAAAGAACCTCTGCATGTGAGGACCCGCTATAAGCTCAACTGAATCGACCTTTAGCCCGGACGCTGATATTGGCTCTGATAGACATTGCGACCAGGACGAAGATAATGATCCCAGTCCTGAGTACGAAGATCCACTTGAATGCATTATCTGTGGCTCCTTTGGTAATTCTCTAGACTTCATATCTACATGTACGAATTCACTAACGCATATACGTAATGTTTAGCTCACAAGCAATGCGATCGTGCAGCTAATGAATGTGGCGGAGTAAAGTCGGCCTTTGATGAAGGTAACAAGACTAACCAGATCCTCTTCAGCCTCTAAGGAAAAAGCAGTCTTTTCTGACATCTATCAAACAGAAACCTCAAAATGGCGATGTCCAACATGTGCTGCAAGGGGGCATGAGGTGCCGAATCTGAAAGACCCGTCTTCCCAGTCCAAGCATTACAGGCGGCTGAGCATAGGTAAGAATATAGATCATGTTACACTTGTATATGAGGCGTGCTAACCAATGATCGTTCTCGTAGCTAAAGAGGAAACGCCAAGGTTAAGGGACCGGAAGCGGAAGCGTGATGATTCAAACGAAGGCACAGTAAGCTCTCGGCGAAGAAAGCGAGGAAAACCCAATCTACCAAAGAAGAACGGGAACACCAGCGACGATGAAGATGGCGAATTTGAACTCGAGCCGGAAGACGAACATCAGATGGAAATTTCCCATGACGAAGAACAAGACACTGCCTCGGCAAGTTATTCGGATATACATGATACACCTCCCAAAGGAAAACAAAAATTATACGAACCACGGACACCTGTTGTTACCTATAAAAGAACAGCGCGCAAATTCCAACTGCATATCACAAACCTCACACCAGGCAAATTAGCAACTGTCCTTACAAGGACTTCTAACCCCAATCTCATTCTGCCAAAACCGAAGTCAATATCATCAGGTCAGAAAACGGAGGTTCAGAGGCCAGAGAAGGTGCCCGGCCGCAGAGGCCGGCCCCTTAAATCTGCGGTTGCTAGGGTCACACCGAAGACCCATGTACCAAAACCAGTCTTCCACAATTTCTCGCCTCAAGACGATGAAAAGTCTAAACCTTATGGTGGGATTCTTACTGAAGAAGAGGCATCCACTGAATTAACTCTGCCTGGGGCTGAGGAAAGAGACCGCTTTGAAAAGGCTCGTGCTGAGGCAGAATCGGAAAGGGAGACTCGCTTGGTAATATCTACATCGCTCAACCCTCAGCCCAAACAAAAGCACAGGGACCGGAATACCAAGTTTGCGGATGCTTCGAAGATCGAATGTATCCATTTCGGGGAATACGAAATTGATACTTGGTATACCGCACCTTATCCACAAGAGTACAGCGAAAATCGTGTGTTGTGGATATGCGAGTTTTGCCTAAAATATATGAATAGCGAGTATGTCGGATGGAGACATAAGGCATGTCCTTCTATTACCAATTTTCAACCCATTTCTAATCCTTTTCCCAGATGAAATGTGAGAGCAGACACCCGCCAGGTGATGAAGTATACAGAGATGGCTCGATATCTGTTTTTGAAATCGATGGCAGAAAGCACTCGCTATACTGTCAAAATTTGTGTGTGCTTGCAAAGCTGTTCTTGGGATCCAAAACGTTGTATTACGACGTGGAACCATTTTTATTTTATGTGATGACTGAATGCGATGAGTTCGGAATGCACTTTGTAGGATATTTCTCAAAGGTTTATGGGGCTAATCGGCAATATGAGATCAAATGCTAACTATTCTACAGGAAAAACGCATAACAAGTCAGCACAATGTATCCTGTATTTTGACATTGCCGATACACCAGCGCAAAGGATACGGGAATCTACTGATTGCATTCTCCTATCTACTCACGAGACACGAAAATAAAACGGGGTCGCCAGAAAAGCCATTCTCCGATCTTGGATTGCTGTCCTATCGAAACTATTGGAAACTGACTTTATGCTATGAGCTCCGTAACCAATCAGCGCCAGTAACTATCGTTCAGCTTTCACAACGAACGGGAATGACACCGGACGACGTCATCTGTGGTCTGGAGGCATTAAATGCTCTGGTAAGGGATCCAGTTACTGGAACCTACGCCTTACGCATTGATTATCCCGCCCTTGAAGCCCATATCCAAAAGTGGGAGGAAAAAGGGTATGTAAAGCTCAATCCAGCCGCACTTGTCTGGACGCCTTATGTTGTTGGACGATCTCAAGCTGTGCAACTTAACGAGCCCCTGCCGACAATCGCACCAAGGCCAGAGCCGGTGGCGCCCAGTAATACCGGAGATGATGGAGAAGGCGATGCGATCGGAGATCAGGGCCGGAATGGTAGTAGATCTTTGACAGGAGACGCCATGGACATGGACAAAATCGACCCGGCCCTTCATACGTTTGATTTAAAGGTTCCAGAGACCCCCTTCACCCCCTTTGCTCCTCCGAAGGCAACCCCATTGGCTATGAAATTTCCATCTCCTAGCAAGTGGAACTCGCCAATAAAGTCATTCATGCAGGACAATAACACCGACGATATACCTCCTACCAGATTTGAAATTGTCCCCCTACCGCCTGGAAGTTATGCCAAGAAAATGCGTGCAGGGTCTTCAGCTCCCCGAGGAAGAACCCCGGGCACTAAAAACCGGAAAGGAAGGAAAATGCTGGACACGCCGAACGGGCTCTCACCTGGAAAGACGAGGGGAGGGATGAGCGATTTCCACGGAAGCCCCGCAATCTCTGCTGGGGCCTCCCGGGAAGGTGCACAGGGAGGTGTATCATCTAGTGTGGACCCCGGAATGCGCCCTGGTTCTAGTTTAGTGGTAGCATCGGAGGTGTAATATAATGGATAGCAAAAGAAAAGGAGGGTTTTCCTCAACCTAGAGTTTATAAGCTTGTTTTTGCTGTCCTTGGGGAATCTGAAGCCTCTAATAAAACAATTCCATCCTTCTACCGATTCAATCACCCCCAAATGTCGGGACATTGTTTATTTTTATTCTTATTTTCAGTGGGTCTGTGTAATTAAGGCTTCTGTATTGTATCTTAAACGTTTTCGGGGTTCGGGATTCAGTTTTCGGGCGGAAATGGGATTTTCTACCATCCAGGGTTATTAAATACGGGCGTTTCTCAAGGGGGGTTTTTTTTTTCCACAGAATCCAATAACCTCGTTATCTTTCTCTCCCCCAAGCTCCCTTTTCTACAATCGTGAATGCGGGGGGGGGCTGGTTTCGCCAGCTGGTATAGGGAATTGCTTTTTTCCCTTTTCCTTTCCTTATACCACATGCAAGAGGCAAGGGGATGCCTAATGTTGCTGCTGTTGCATACCCTACTCTACGACGGTGGCTGCCTAACTTCGGATATAATTCTTATTCGGACTTGGGATTTATGGTATCCTGTGCAGCCTATCTTGTATTTGGCAGTTGATCTCGATTGAAAACGTGAGATGAGAACTGACAAGTCTGCATAATTTCTTCCTCTGTTGTAATGATAATATCAAAATAAATAAAGATCGAGTGTTCCACAAAATTGCACACCCCTAGAATTCAAATACGACCATCGAATTGAATTATTTGAAGGCTATACAAGCTAAGTACCAATACATACTAGTACGGTACAGTATAGTGCACTACAACTCCGGGATATCGATTTGTGTTCAAAGCAAAAACGTGGATAGATATAATTGAGTTCTGGATTCACACCCAAGGCCTCCTCCCTCCCTTCATCTCGCCTATCGCCCAATATCAAAAATGAGATAACGGAGAAATAAAACAAATTGGGAGCTGGCCGGGCACCAGTGGACTGCAGGTCGGTCACAATTCCCACTTTATCAAGCTCGCTGAATGTAGTCTCGGATGCTACACGTCCAGTACTGTACCAAAAGCGCTCATAGCACCACAAATCCCGGGCGGGAGGGCATGATAACCTGACGGAGGCTGTCTCAGCTGCGCTAGTAGAGTTCTCTAAGTACATCAAGTACGTGATCTACTGCATGTCTGGTCAAGCAAAGGTTGGCCATGTTACGTGCCCGGCAAAGAAGCAGTGTACTGAAGCATGTTGCGGCCTGGTGTGAAACGGGATATACAGTGTGTATTTCGCACACTGATGTAGGATAACTATGAGCAACTCATATCGTGATCTTTGGATGAAACCTTGGCCACGTAGTTGGAGCGGTAGAAGCGAGTTGCTGCTCTATGTGCAACGGTTGGTGGGAGTTTGGTAGCTATCGTGGACAACAGTTCAGGATCTTGAGCTCCTGAGTGATCAGTTGTGATCGAGCTTCAATTCTCTCAATGGTGGGAATGGAACATGAGCACAACTGCCGTGGGTTTGTTGTAAATTCATTGGGAAAAGCGCAATTGGAAGGATATATTCTCATTGAGTTTTAGATTTGATACTCGATCGTTTCATACTTCGGTTAATTGTCTTTTATTCCATTTTATTTTTTGCAGCCTTCTAAGTTCATGTCATAGAAGAGATTCCGAGAGGTCAGAGTCCGTCAGACCCTAACTTGCTAAGCAGGCCTACGATTGGGCAGAATTACATGACCGCCACACACTTTCACTCAGCCTCAGCCTCCTGGATTGGGGTCCCGAGATTACCCTGCGGATGTTGGCAAGGGTGACAAAGGCTAGACAAGACAAGATACACAAACCAACATCCCGCCAACGTCGACTCCTCCAAAATTTACTTCAAACAACTCTACCATGCCGCGTCAACGCGCTGCTTCAGGTGCTTCAACTGCATCCTCAAGATCCGCTCCAGAAGACCAGGTTCGCGCGATTCACTGCTTTTCTCCCCTTCTAATCCCCATCGTCACACTACTGACCTCCCCACCCCTTGTGCGACTGCAGGAGCTCGGTAGTCTGTACGATTACCTTGCAAAGATAATATTACTGGGGCCAAGTGGGTGCGGAAAGTATGCACCTCCGAGAATACAGTGCCATACCGAGCTCGGCTAAAGACAGGGGACAGGTCTTGTTTGCTACATCGGTTTGTCCGAGGAGAATGTGAGGGGATTGGAACCATGGGCGCAGAATCCATGGCCACATCGCTTACTTTAAAACAGGGCGAATTCTATCGTCGCAAACCATCGGGGTGGAATTCTCTTCGAAGATAATCAAAGTTGGTACGGGCTCCCGCCGTAAACGCATCAAACTCCAAGTAATTCCTTCTATATGCTCTTTTTTCGCCTTCATTTTACCCCCTTGCCTGTTTTTATCTTTTTCTTCGAATTATGGTCTGACTCTGTAGCTATGGGACACCGCCGGACAAGAGCGCTTTCGATCTGTTACTCGGTCTTACTACCGCGGTGCTGCTGGCGCTGTCCTTATCTATGACATTACGTCTCATCCAAGTTTTACCTCACTGCCGACCTTCTTGACAGATGCCCGGGCCCTGGCCTCACCGAACCTGACGTTGCTCCTTGTGGGTAACAAATCGGACCTTTCCACCCCCCCAGAAAGCTCAGGAGGACAACTCATCGACATCCCCTCGTCATCATCCACCTCAAATTCTATCTTCACACCGATACCGGAAGAGGAGCATAGGCCGCAGGTGGAGACAGTGGAGAGAGCTGTGACGACAAATGAAGCAGCCCGTTGGGCCTCCCTCCAGAACATCCCCGTCACAATGGAAACATCGGCACTGTCCGGCGAGAATGTGGATGAGGTCTTCACCAGACTCGCGCACATGATAGTGACCAAGATTGAGCTTGGGGAGGTAGACCCTGATGACCCGATGAGTGGTATTCAATACGGGGATTCGGGTGGGTGGGTGGACGCCTCCGGGAGCACGAGGAAACGGAAGGGCCCCGGAAGAGTCATGGTAGATGGCTTTAGCGCCGGTTTGAGAGGGTGGGAGGATGTTTTTAGAGATTCGAGCGGCGGGAGGAGGCGAAAATGCTGTTAGATGTATTAATTCGAATATAGTGTGCGCACGCGGGGTTGTACAGGCCGCACGAGGAGGAGAGCTCTGTATTTTTCAGGACAATGTGAGCTTTGTGGAGGTACGGAGCAGTGGCATCTCGCGTTTCTTCCCTCTTTTTCTATCTTCCACCCTCTCCCTCTTTTTCTCTGTTTTCTTTTATGGCCTATCATCCATTGAGTCTCTCTTAGCATTTTGCTGTTGTCATTATTTCCCTTCTTTTCATCGTGCTTTGGAGACGTACCTTATGACTACCACCCATCTTATCCCATCCGTAATCCGAAAAAAAAAAACTAGTCTCTCAGCTACCTCTATACCCTGCCCCCCCTTTTCACATTCAATTATTCTAGAAACCCCCGAGCAGAGAGCGGGGGGTGTAGGGAAGTGGAGGAAACTCCCTAGCATTAATTTCATTTCAATTATCTCTAGTCCATCCATACCATCTTCGTATCAAGCAAATACGCACAACGGGAATGAATGAATTAAACACTAACTCCGCACGTTCCTCCGAGTTCGAGTGGTTCCCATGCGGCCACATAGCGTCAGTGTCCTGTGTGCACATACTAGTAGAGTAATAGTGAATCAAAGCGCTTCAGACTTCTTTCTTGATAGTGTACTCGAGTAGCAGTAGAAGCCGAACCAAGGCGCCGAATCGTAAAGGTGCACAAAAAAGGCAAAAAGCGGGCGCTCAATTGCACCATGCACGAGTGATTGCAAGTGATCTACAGAAAACCAGGTTCGAGTAGTGAATCCTCCTCGCACAGGATTGATGGGTTGATCAGAAGAATAATAAAAAAAACCATGAGACACAGAAAGCTATGACCTCTCCGATCCCGGCTCCCAACCACCCTGACAGCTCCCGATGGACTGCGAGTGCAGGTATGTATTCCTGGCTTGAGAAACGGGTAACGTATCAGATCACGCTAGAGGTTCAAGCCGGCAAGGCTGGGGCAACCCGATCCTTTTTTTTTTTTATTTTTTTTTAGGAAAAAAAAAGAAAACGGATGAGAGGAAAAAGGCCAAAGCCGCCCCCCCGTTCACTGGGAAAAATGGATTTTCCATTAAATCCAGATACTATGCGTTGTTGTTGCAGATAACCCAGCATGTAAAGTTCTGTATTGTATTGTATTGTAAGTGTGTATGTATGATATATGTATGCACGATCATCATGTACTGTATGATTGATTCGTTACTGCTACTTGTTACCATACCGTACCGTACTCCACCAAGTAAAGTAAACTATGGTCTAAGCGCCAGTCCAAAGTTTAAAGAATCTAAAAAGAAAAGAAAAGAAAAGAAAGGAAAAATTAGCCACCACCCCTCCTCCCCCGAATCGTGCCGGGCGGACCGTACGATATCGTACAGTGCTCGTACATTAATGGTGATGTTCTCAAAACGCGGTAGGGTTATCATACTTATGATATAATATAATATAACAGGCGGCGATGGGGGAAGTATTACCGGTATGCTTGGTGGGAAGGTGATAATCTTTTCTTTCTTTCTTTCTCTCTCTCATTGTTGAAGAAGAAGAAGAAAAGAAAAGAAAAGAAAAAAAAGGAACGAAGGAAGGAAGGAAGGAACGAACGAACCCTTGTGCCGGTAATCATGATACGGTACTGTACAAGTACCAGACTAGGTTTCACTTCGGAGGATCTCTACAAATTGATTCCACCACCGGAGGTCCCACCCGTGTCCACACGCGCGAGTACTAGTACTCGTACTTTCTGTTACTCCATATTGTACGGGTACAAGTAACGGCTGCCACCGCACTGTTACTGTACGAGTACTCGTACTTGTACTGTACCGTAGGTGAACGTTATTATGTCGTACAGTGCAGAGACACCCTTCCCCTCCCTTTTCTCTCTCTCTCACTCTCTTCCTTTTTTTTTTCTTTTTCTTCTTCTTCTCATACCGGTAGCTTCACTGTAGAGCCCGGAGAAGAAGAAAAGGAGAATTACAGTACTCGAGTAATGATGGGGAATGGAGAGTGGATAGGCCAATTTTGGCTATTTTTGGCTTTTTTTATTTATTTTATATTTTACTTTTTTTCTTTTGTTGTTTTGACAGATATGGGGGGGGGGAGACCTTTGAGTGAGACATTTTGTGAAAAGAAGCTTTGGTCATGATTGTTTGAGGCGTGTATGATATGGTACAGTATTTCATTTCGTCTTTGTTTTGTTTTTGTTTTTGTTTTTTCCCTTCTCCTGCCTCGTTTCAATTCAATTCCGAGTCCGGCTCAATTTGTTTGTTAATTATTAGAGATTATAATGGTTTATTTCAATTTCTGTCGATTTAAATAGATATTTAAATTGTTTGCTCTGCCTTGCTTGCCTTGGCCCCCCCGGTTGGACAGTCTGTTCGGGTATTGTCTACCCTCCATGGCTACAGGTCGGTATTATAGGTATGATACTGTGGGTACCGTAGAAGAAAAGAAAAAAGGTCCCTAATACGATCCCGTCAATCAGGAAGATGGAAATTAACAATGGATGAACGAATCCACAGGAAAGAACAAGTGACTGCCGAAAAGCCCGATTCAAAGATAAGTCCCTACCCCCCTTTCCCCCCAAATAACTGACCAATCTCATCCACTCCGATCCCATATCCCCCATCCTGTCAGGAAGTTTACGATGCGCAGCTGGATAGGCAGGCATAGTTAGAAAGCGTACGTACGTACGTATACTATTATTCTATGATAACCCTACTCTGGGTTCAAGCGTTTCCGTGGGAGCGCCAGTCCTGTCCAGTCGTTACCCCAAGAAAAGAGAGAAGGAGGGAAAGAATAACCGCAATCTGCAGACTGCGCGTTAGGTGGAGAGAGATTTCAGCTTTCGAAAGAGCGGTAAGACGGATGGAAGGCCCAGCTCGGAGTCCGGGCTACCCGTATGTGAGCAGCCTGTCTCCCGCGGGAGCCAATTCCATCTCAAGAGGCTAAGGTTTCGTAGGCCTCCGAGAGCTGTTTGGATTGTCCCCCCCACCCCGCCTCGCAGCCCCCTCCATGAGCATCATATCATGGCTTAAGCAAGTAATGGGTCTGCTTTGATGCCTTGCTTGGCCCCGTCCCGGTCACTTTGGAAATTCGGGGCGATTCACTCATTCCTTTCCTTCCGTGTGGACTAGGCTAGACTGGACTAGGGTGGGCTGTTGGCTGAGATAACAGAGCGCAAAACATGGTCAGTAGGATCAGCACGATGGAACATAAGACCTGTCGGTGTTCGGTGATGTGATAGATCCAACCTCTCTCCCCCACTGGATCTGCTTTCCGTATTAATTCGCACCTCCCTCCTACATCCTCCTAATTCTCCACTTTCCCTCCCCTTGCCGCACTGCCTATTTAGATATTTGATGCCCTAGCCAGCACAGTTCGAGTATCCCGTCACTCCATAATATCATACTTGTACCGTATACACAAGTGCCGTACCAGCTCGGCTGCGGCTGATGCTCCGTGATCTCCTAAGGCAGAGAGCCATTTGCTAGTGAGAGGGAAAAGGGAGGGCGAGCGTCGAGAAAATCCCTTCTTCCCACAGAGTGTGTTTATCGGCCATACACCGTTCCCCGATACGGCACGGGGCTCCCTCGGTATTCACAAGTGTAAGCAGAGAGGGGTGTCCACGAAGCGGAAACAAAGTGAAGCAGATCAAGAACTCCTTCGAGCGCGCACACACACACGCACCCCCTCCCACACTCCCTCGCCCACCCACGCGAATGGGGAAAAAGGCTCTACTCGCCTAACATGGACAGGTATGGGGGAGGTCATAGCAAACACGGACAGGGAATAAACGGGGTGCTATGTACTAGTACCGGTTTTCCACGGTACGGCTCTCTTACTGTATCTGTATCGCACGAAGGAAGGGCTTATTGCCCCCGTGTAAATTAGAACGAGAGAAGAGGGCCGAGAGAGGGGGGGAATTCTCAGGAGCAATGAAGTATGAGGGGGGGGGGGGGCAAATCACTGAGAAGTGCCTAAGTGGAAGAACGGAGAAGGGTTTTCCAAAAAAAAAAATACCCCATCGCGATATCGGTGTCCAAAAGGGAAAAAGGATGTGCGAAAAGGAGAGTGTAAGAATTGGACTATCAAAACCTCGCTTCTAGTGGTGGTATTCCTGTAGGGTTCTCTGCGATATCTCACGATCAATATACCTTTCAAAAAGGACCTCAGGTCGGTTCGCGGAGTCACCCATTGTCACTCGGTGAGATTCAGGGGGGTGTTCCTTCCGGATGGTGCAGGTCGGGGGTGCTTTTTCTTTTTTCCTCCTCCCAGTGAAAAGGGCCTCTGTTGAGCGTGAGTTAAAGAGTGAATGAGAAAAGAGAGTGGCAATTTGTGGAGAGTATAGGGTAGGCCTTCCTATCATCTCTTGAGGTCACCCCCCCCTCTCTCCCGATACACGAGAACGGTACGGTGTTAGTGGAGGGAAGGGAAGGACACCTTTTGCTCTTTTGCCCTGCGTTCCGGGAGCCAGCGGCACAGCGCAAGCAAACACCTTTGTCTCCTCGATCAGCGCACCGAGCTGCACCGCATACTGGTAATTCCGGCTCATACAAATCGCGGGACCAGGCCATGATACGATAAAGCGTGAGGTGAAGGCGAAAGAAAGGAAAACAAGCTTCATCTCGAATACGGTTACAGGTATCTGGGAAGCCACATACACTCCCCCCTCCACTCCATCCCCTTCCCGCCTACCCACTGTACCGTACCCCGTTAAATCATGTGAGTTAATAACTTCTCACGGTCAACTGTTCAAACAACCCACCCCAGGTGCGTTGTTCCAGATGTGCCAAACCTGGTATCGGCTGTTTACCCCTACCCTGTCCCCTTCTCTCTCTTTCCCTACCCTGGCACCGCATGCGTTGCACATCACAGATTAGACCTAGCTCTTTCGGCCATGCAAAGTTTTCTTTCTTTTTCCCCCCCCATGATCCATTAAATTTGTCAAACCATTTCCACCCCCTCCCGATACTTAGCCTTACCCTTTTATCCCTTCTCATCCACTTCCATTCCTAGGTTTGCTTTCCTATTTGGTGCGGAGTTTTTACTTTTTGTCCTCTCCCCGCACATCCTATTGGACCTTCTCCATCGCCTGCCGGTAAGTTCTGTCCCGTTTAGGTCGGGAGTTCAGCCAACAAGCTAGGAGGAGGGTTTTAGCGTGATATACGAGCATATAAGTTATTTAGTTTGCCAGGCATACCGTACCGTGACCGTACTATACTCGTACAGTATCGTGCCGTACCAGTACGCTGTCCTTTTTTCTTTCTTTTTTTTCCCTTCACTCTTCCGCCACTCCGTTCCAAAGAAAGAAAAGAAAAGAAAAGAAAATCATTCGGCACCACTATGATAGGGTCACAGTTGTCGATGGGGAGGGGGGGGCTTTATCTGAACCAATACACATTTCTGCGGCGCCACCAAGGATAGACGGATGGGGGGGAGAGCGGGAGCTATCATGTTTCTGCCAGCCTGGAGCTTTGTTTTGGTTTCTTACCGGGCATGGCATTGGTCCTCGTGCGGAGCTAACTGGGAGTATCATGTCGAGCAACATAAACAGAGGAAGAGAGGAAGAAAGAAAAAAAGGAGCAATGATACTTGAGTACCGTCGATCGGTCTGTCCATCTTAGGGTACTTTTAGCCTAGCTCAGTCGTTTTGTCTTCCTGGCGACCATGTCTCACGGAGTCCCCACGCTTCCCACGCTTTTCAGCTCCAACGAGAAGCAAATAAATTGAGGAGAAAAAAAAAACAACTAACCGCCTGTGATCGACATCTTAGTGAGGTGTTGGGGAGGGGCGGTAGCGGGCTTGCTGAAAAGGGAGGCCCAGTCCCTGGTAAGATGAGAAGAAGTTCTTTGCTTTTAGTTTTGACAGCTGCCGCAAAATGCATGGGTAATTTTCGTGTTGTTTCTTTTTTTTGTTTTTTTTTTTTTTGTCACCATTTCAGTATCATTATTTC